GAACAGCACAGTTCATGATTACTGTGAGATTAAAACATTTTCTTCAGGCTACAGGTTGAGACAGCAAATGGTATTGCTGTGTCCCTGGACTTTGGCTTATTCTTACTTCAGTACCCATTTATATTCTGGAAGAAGCTGAGCTTGGGTCTTTTTAGATTAAAGCTATTGAAGGCAACAGACTAAAACTAATTGTGAGTTTGCCTCCTGTAAGTAAAATTTCTATTCTAGAAAAGATGGGTCAGGTGTGTTTGATTGCTTTAGGAGAATGAATTATCCAATTTATATGGCACATCACTGAAAAGCTAAGTAAGAAGAGAAAAAAATTTAATGGCTGTCATAGATTTAATTGTGTCCTCCAAAAATATGTGTCACCTTGGCTAGGCCATGATTCTTAGTATTGTATGGTTTCCTCCATTTTGTGATCTGGTGTAATTGTCCTATGTGTTACAAATCCTGATCTCTGCCTGTGGTTAATGAGGCAAGATTAGGTTATGTTAAAGAGAATTAGGGTGGGATGCAACACCCTTACTCAGGTTGCAGCCCTGATCCAATGTAAGGGGAGTTTCCCTGGAGTATGGCCTGCGTCACCTTTTACCTTATAAGAGGTAAAAGGAGAGAGAACTGAGCAGAGAGGGAACTACTACCACTAAGAAAAGAAGAGCCAGGAGTGGAGCGTGTCCTTTGGACCTGGAGTCCCTGTGCTGAGAACCTTCTAGACCCAGAGGAAGTTTGATGCCGAGACACATGAAGATCTTCAAGGAACACCATGCCCATACACGTTGGAAGGAGATGAGGACCTTCCCCCATAGCCAACAGAGAGAGAAAGCCTTCCTTGCGCCGTGAATTCAGACTTCTAGCATCCTAAAGTGTGAAAAAACAAATTTCTGTTTGTTAAAGCCATCCACTTCTGGTATTTCTGTTATAGCAGCATTAGATAACTAAGACAATGGCTTTCAATTATGAGGGTTTAATAATTAATTTCTAAGTTTTTCCTTGCTTGATATCATTTGAGTTTGACATGTTTCCAGGGAATTTTTCCTAGAATAAGGCTGTTAGGGAGCATAAGGAGTTGCCAGGATTGGTTTGACTTTATGCCTACAGTGTATGTTTGTATGTTGATTTCCACCAGATTCCATACCTTCCTATTTATATACCATTTGGTAAGCCTTGCATAGGGTTCCACTATCTACTTACAATGAAAGAAAGGAGATTTTATTTCTGCCCTTTTTCCTAATATATTTAAATATGAAAAGTATCTGCAAAGATGATACTTTGAAACAAATGCGTACTTTGAAAGGTATTCTTGAGATGTGAACATAGATTTCTGGGTCACTGATATGTCTGAGAGAGCCCTAGTGGCGCAGTGGTTAAGAGCTCGACTTTGCTAACCAAAAGGTCAGCAGTTTGAATCCACCAGCTGCTCCTTGGAAACCCCATGGGGCAGTACTCCTCTGTCCTATAGGGTTGCTGAGTCAGAATCGACTCAACGGCAATGGGTGTAGTTTGGTTTGTATATTCCTGAAGATATTTAATAATATGTCTTCGTTGAGCAGATTTATCTAATGGTAATGTTGTGCTTGAATAATTAGGACCCTGTGGGTCTCCAAAAGGACCCCTAGTGGTACAGTGGTTATGCACTCGGCTGCTAACAGAAAGGTCAGCAGTTCAAACTCACCAGCCCCTCTGCTGGAGAAAGATGTGGCAGTCTGCCTCTGTAAAGATTACAGCCTTGGAAACCTTGTGGGGCAGTTCTACTCTGTCTTACAGAGTCACTATGAGTTGGAATCAACTCAGTGGCAATAGGTTTGGTTTTGGGTTTGGGTCTCCAAAAAGTGTTAATGGGAAGAGTACATAGAAGTTCATCTAGGAAATCAAGGGTACAAATCTTAAATAGTTTATGATGCTATGTTCTTGCTTTTTTTTGACAGTCCTTTACATGTCATCTTATGCGCCAAGTAAAAATTAGGACTGTTCAGTTTTCCCTTTAAGCTTCTAGCCTTGAAGCTCCTTGAGGAAAGATTCTGTGTCCAATTCATCTCTTTATCTTCCTCACTACCTTGCACCAGAAGGCACTCAACAAATATTCCCTGAATCAATGGCCACAATTCATGTTGATAATTGGGAATGAAATTATTATTTATGGCTTTCTTATGCTGTAAGCATTTTCCATCCTCTTATTGGAAGATAACAAAATTTGTGACTTCAACTTACAGTCTCTTTATAAGAATGTAATAACTCGTGTGGTTGGTCTTCCTGGCCAGCAAAAGTCTTTTCTTTCCATTCTTATTTCACGTCATTTGCCTGGTTCAAATTCATAATTTGTGATCACTCAGATCCCTGTGATCCCTCTATCCTGCCATGATTATTTTTTTATCTGAAAACTGCTGCCCACTTACTGTTTGTCCTATCATTGACACTTAGTGTGTGCTCTCTTGTTTTGTGATAATTTTTTCATGTATTCTATTTTTTAGTGTTTATTATAAAACCTTTGTGGACAAAGATCCTGTTATTTATCCCTTTGTACTCCAATCTAGTCCCTTTATGACACTTGTATAAATAATAGCAGATTGTGAGGCTCATTATAAAGTAATGTAGTAAAAAATAAATAAAGTGATGTAGTGTCTGGTATGAAAGTTACTTAAATTCAAACTTGACTATCTCAGACTGATGCTTTGCCCTATCCTTCGCTGGAAATAAGAACTTGTTTCTTAAGCCTGCTGTCATAGAATTCTTGGGGTGAGGTTGAAGAGAGAAAAATAGACAGCTATAAACCTGAATATTTGTGCTTCTGAGTTAGACACACATAGCTCCCTGAACCTATATAAATTTCCTGTCGAACTAAAGAAAACAAAAATCCTCACAACTAGACCAAAAAGCAATATCATGATAAATGGAGAAAGGATTCAAGTTGTCAAGGATTCATTTTACTTGAATCCACAATCGACACCTATGGAAGCAGCAGTGAAAGAAATCAAAAGACTCATTGCATTGGGCAATTTGCTGCAAAAAAACCTCTTTAAAGTGTTGAAAAGCAAAGATGTCACCTTGAAGACTAACGTTCTCCTGACCCAAGCCATGGTGTTTTCAATTGCCTTACGCACATGCAAAAGCTAGACAATGAATAAGGAAGACCAAAGACGCCTGTCTAAGGCTGGGTTCTCTAGAGAAGCAAAACCAGTAAAGTGTATAAATATATATACAGAGAGAGATTATATCAAGGAAACAGCTCACGTGATTGTAGAGGCTAGAACATCCCAAGTCCGTGGATCAGGGTAGAGGCCTCTCCCAAGTCACACAGCTGCAGAAGCTGGCAAGCCCAAGATCGGAAGGTCGGAGAGCAGGGCTCCCACTCACCGGCTGTGCAGATCGACGAATCCCAGGTTCGGCAGATAGGCTGACAGCTCAAGTCCCAAGAACGGGAGATGAGACGACAGGAAGCAGCCGCAGGATCCAGAGAGAGCAAAAAGCCAGAACGTCTGCTTATGTACAGATGCGGGCCACACCCCCAAGGAGACTCCCTTTCATCTGATTGGCTACTCACAGTATATTCAATCATGGGAGTGATTACATTAAAACACGGAGAATCATGGCCCAACCAAGTTGACACACAATCTTAACCATCACAACGCCTTTGAATTGTGGCGTTGGCGAAGAATTTTGAAAATACCATGGACTGCCAGAAGAGCAAACAAATCTGTCTTGGAAGAAGTACAGCCGGAATGCTTCTTAGAAGCAAGGATGGTGAGAGTACATCTTACACACTTTGGACATGTTAATCAGGAAGAAGCTGTCCCTGGAGAAGGACATCATGCTTGGTAAAGTAGAGGATCAGCAAAAAAGAGGAAGACCCTCAACGAGACGGCTTGACACAGTGGCTGCAACAGTGGGCTCAAGCTTAACAATGACTGTGAGGATCGTGCAGGAATAGGCAGTGTTTCGTTCTGTCGTACGTAGGGTCTCTATGAGTTGGAACTAACTTGACGGCTCCTAACAGCAACATCGAAAATATACCTCCTCTCCACCTCTTAGTAATGCTGTCATTTTACCCTGATCATTTCCTTCACAGCACTAATCACACCATTAAATTCTTCTGTTTACTTGGTCATTGCTTCTCTCCCCACCTGGTACCTTATTTGTCCTATTCACTGTTGAATTACTAGCACCTATCAGTAAAGCAGAGTTTAGCACATACTCTTTCCTCCACAAATTGGAGTTAAGGGACCCATAAAGAGAATCCACCAACATCCATCCCTGCCCTCTCAGAGCTACAGGAGTTCTTACTCCTTGGTTTATGTCCCAGATTTACTTTTGCAATAAAGCAGTGATGTGGTAGTAAAGATACGAGACTGTTCCCTTGTCTAGACATAATTCAATATGGAATATCCAATTTATACTTTGTTTTCAGTGTTTTCAACTCTAATGCCCTGCGAGGATTGAAATTCTATCTAAATTCTCAGCACAGTACTTGCCTAGGGCAGCAATAGACCTTTCTTCAAATTTAAATTAGCTGAAGCCTGGTTATCTAATATGTGAAAATGTATTCGGAATATCCTGATTAAACATAAGCCATCCAGGTAAATTATCTGAGGTACTTGCTTTTTATTTACTGACATTTATGATTAGAAGAGCCTTAGAGCAGTGAAATTTGATTAATAGCACATTAATTACAAATTGTCTGCTTCCTGCAACCCAGAAGAGCTACTCTTCTTCCCCTTATCTCATATTTAAACATATATTGAATGATGTCTGTTAAAGGAACAGTTCTGCAGAATAGGAAAGGGTTAGGTGCACATCCCTTCTGCCACAATCTCTAAAGGTAATCCCTATTAGCACAAATTACTTCTATTTCTATCTGTAGATTAGGAAAAATAATTCTGATTAAAGATGCTAGGACAGCATTCATTCATTGAACGAAATTCCATATAGGCATGCAAAGTATTTATCAAGAAACAAGATTTTGTATATTTAAGTTATTATATATGATTCCTTTTTCTTAAAAGATCTACTGACTCAACATTTCCTGGAAAAATGGATGGTTCCCATCATACAGGGATGAGCTATATGGACCACAACGATACCACATCACCCCCTCACCATCACCCGACCACTTCAGTCTCACACTCCCATGCTGAAGGACATGGTGACACGATGATGATGATGGTGAGTGCCACAGGAGAGGCAACTTGGGCCCTTTCCCATCTACTTTGGTAAGAGAAGGAATAGAATTTTAGTAATGAAAGGTCATTATCTTTAATGTTAGTTTATTGATGAGGAAAAACTAAGGCAGACCCAGATAAGTTCAGTGCTTTGCCCAAGATCATGTGGCAAATTAGTTACAGAGCCAAACCAGAACAAAGATTTCTAGACTTGTTTCCTCTGTAGTACCGTCTTTCAAATTGAACCTTTTCTGAATTAAGTTCTGGTCTTTGTGCTTTGTGTAGAAAAGGGGAAAAGACAAAAGTTGATGGTGGGGGCAAAGGAGAATACTTTTGCTCAGTACCTGTGGTAGTAATACCAAAGTAAAGGAAAAAGCCTCCCGCTTCAGTGAATGTCTCTTCTTAACTTTCTATCCAGATATGCTACTTTTGAATGGCCTGAGCTTTTTGCCTGGAAATTCTCATTCTTCAGTCATCTCTAATTGGCTTGTTTTTGCTTTTCTGACAGCCTATGACCTTCTACTTTGGCTTTAAGAATGTGGAACTATTGTTTTCTGGTTTGGTGATCCATACAGCTGGAGGTGAGTAAGTGCAATCAGGTGGTGTTTGAAGGTGATGGTCACATGAGAGACAGTGAGATTCTGAGAAACTACTACTAGGCAAAGAATTTGGAAAACCAGCACCTCTTTCTGCCCTAAATACTGAATCAGGATGGTTTGATACATAACCATCTCGGTTCCTATTTCCTACCTAGAAGTTAAGAATACATAATATATATTTTGGTCCTCTGGTATGCCTTCCTTAAATAACATGTCTATTTTGTAGCTTCTGAAAAATAATTTAGATACCAGATAGACATATTTTCCAGTCCATGTCTTTTTATCCTTTTCCAGAGTGTTTACTTATTTGATAAATTATTGGTCTTAGACATAAGACTACAGTTAGGTTCACATGACATAAGAAGCATCATTTTGTAGATGCATACCACAAAATAGCCTCAGGTCAAGAACTACTGATCTAGAATAACTCTTTCATTTACAGATAAATTAAGACTTAAATAGTGAAATGACTTGCCCCAAATCACATAGAGTTAATGTGTCAGAGCTAGGACAAGGACCCATACCTTCCAGACCTACCTAGTTCAGTGTTCTTTCTAGTGTACCAGACTATGGTCCACATTCTTTTTGATTCTTGGCATGGCCCATCTTAGGGTCATTCCTAGTTTTTGGGTAGCTGATCACCCACATCTTTGTGTCTTTAACATTGACTTGTGTCTTAAATGTAAATTACACAAGCTCAGTAGTCCCTTGGACAGCTCTAGATACCAGGAGTATCTTTGGATCCACAAAATCAGTTTGTTTTGAGAAGAAGGGGAGCATTTAGTTCAGTTAATGTATAGATTAGCAGTTTGATTGCATTCATATCATTACCAACACTCTCAGTGTGAAAGGTGTAGACTTGAAATGCCTATTCAAGAAATGTAGCCAGTGCTTAAAAATAAGTTGTTCTAGTCCCCTTTTCCTTAGTCTGCCTTGTGTTTCTTCCCATGTAACAAGCTAATTTAATGTCATCAAACAGCCATACCAAAAGATTATTTTTGTTCAAATAATTTTTTATCTTAGTCAAAAAATGAATGTGTTCTTCAGCAGAGGCAGTGGTTTTCACTAACACCTTTTAACTGTTTTCCTTATCTGGGCAAGTGAAGAGGTAACAGTATATTAAGAAACTGAGAGTAGCACTTTTTCTATGTTGTCTTTCTAGCTTGGACAGCACATTGGCTAATGATTTTGCATATGTTTGACAATACCACTGTCTTTTCCTTCTCTTCTTAGAAATGGCTGGAGCTTTTATGGCAGTGTTTTTACTAGCAGTGTTCTATGAAGGACTCAAGATAGCCCGAGAGAGCTTATTGCGCAAGTCACAAGTCAGCATCCGCTATAATTCCATGCCTGTACCAGGGCCAAATGGAACCACCCTTATGGAGACACACAAAACTGTTGGGTAAGAAGATTGAACAGGCCCAGATGGAAGTTCTGGAGAGCTGAATTAGTTAAGCAACAAAGCAGCTATTTTATTGGCAGCAACCTTCATCTTGAGTTAGCAATTCTCTATGACGTTGATCAAAACTGTCTTGGGAGGTTTGGGGTTGTGGGTCATGAACAGGCCAAAGGAGAAATAGTAGGAATCGTTCTGCAAACATGAATGTTTGTTCTGAATTGTGTCGGTCACTTTGGAAGGAGTTCAGTAAGGAATCTGTATTTAAATATTTGCCAAAATAATAATGAACAAGTTAAGAAATTCAGGTCAGGGTATAGAAAAATGGCAGAATCCAATTGATTCCTTTCTACAGAAAGTTGTACCTACCCAGCTCTAGGCTCGTTTTGTTTACAATATAAAACCGTACTAATGTCTCTGCTCTAAAAAGTATTTGAATAATTACTGGTTTTTCCCACAAATCAGCAAATTCTTTTTGAGATTCAATTCTAATAGAAATATAGGTTTTAAAACTAGATAGGACCTCAGGAAATTTATAGACCAACACCCTACTTTCAAGCAAACACAATACAGTGAAACCAGTGAGAGGTGGAATTTGACAGGACTGTCTTGTTTTTCCGGGTTTCACAAGTTTTCCACTTCTGACAGGGTGCAGTCTTACCACTTTTAGTGGAAAATATTTGAGTTTTCCTTCTCTGAGACGTTTCCGCCTTATACAGGTTCCAGCTTTCTCAGGTTTTGCTCTATTATTTATTCCCATTGTACTGATGAGCTTATTGGCCAAATAAGGTGACAGTACTACTAAGTGACAGAGGGGATGAGAAGCCAGATCTCCTGATCCCTAATGAAGTACTTTCTACTATACCACCGAACACGCACTTCTATTTCCATTTTTGTAGGATGTGAACTTCGCAAAAATGGAAGGCCTGAAAATGTTTGGCCAAATAAGCGTGGGAGGGTTTAGGGCTTCTCTTTCATGATCCAAGGTGAAGATAAGTTAGGAGATTACCCTTCCTCTCTCTCCCCTCCCCAAAAGGGTTCCTCCTACTGGCATATAACCATGTCTGGGTAGTTCTTACAAACCTGACAGCTCTATCATGTTTCATTTCCAGGGACCAAGAAACAACATACATATACACAAGTACCTGTAAGATGCCAGGGTGGCTGTGAGGGAGTCCTTTTCAGGCTGGGCTTGTGCCTACAACTGTTCCCCCTTTATCCTGATCTGCAGAGCTTCCTGAACTCTCCTAGGGGTCCCTGATTGTTTGTCCCTGTTTACTCTCCAGGCAGCAGATGCTGAGCTTTCCTCACCTCCTGCAAACAGTGCTGCATATCATCCAGGTGGTCATCAGCTACTTCCTCATGCTCATCTTCATGACCTACAATGGGTACCTCTGCATTGCTGTGGCACTGGGGGCCGGCACAGGATACTTTCTCTTCAGCTGGAAGAAGGCAATAGTAGTGGACATCACTGAGCACTGCCATTAACATCAGACTCCATGGTGTGGCCTTATCGATTACAATGGGAAGCAGTTCGAGACTGGAAGACATGATCCCTACTCCAGTCATCCCTTTTTGCTCCTTGTCTCCTTACACACACACACGCACACGCGCACGCGCGCGTGCGCGCACACACACACACACACTTGCTCAACAGAGGTTTAGCTTATAGTCTCTGAGTTAAACTGGTAATCTCCCCATTCTTTCTAATAAGCTGAGATTCCCATTTCTCTTGAGAAGAGGCCACCCATGAGATGTCCTCTCCTCACAATCATCTTAGATCCAAGTTATATATTCTTGACTAATCCAGGTAGCTGTATATTCAATGACATGATCTCCTGATTTCTTTTTAATCTTTTGGGTTTTTTTCAACAGACAATATGTGACTTTGGTGATTTTGTCCTGGATGAGTGATAGAAAGGGATTATCGACTTCAGCCAGGATAGCATCTGAGGAAAATTCTCACCCAACTAAACCCAGAACCCAAACTTAACACTAGAAAATAAGTTCCAGTTTTTTGACTGAATAACAGGAAAACACACTGTGCCTTTCCCTAGGTGTGATGTTTGCACCAAAATCTTTGGAGTGTGCATAGGGGTGGTTTTGAGACTAAATACAGGCCTGGAGCTTGCAGAAGTGTGCATTCCTGGACAGCTGACTTATCAGCTTGTGTCCCTGCTTAACATTTTGATTACAATGAACTAGCCACTCCAGAAAAAAAGACAATCAATTTGAGAAAATAGAAATAGATGTTTTTAAATAAAACTACCAGTATTTTACTTTGACTTAGTACCTTGGTTTGTCACAGCTCCTCATTGAAGCAAAAGGGATTGAATCATTCTTTTCCCATTGATTGTTTTTATGTCTCTGCCTCCAAACCAGTGGTTTTCAAACTTTAGAATGTATCAGAATCACCTAGAGGGCTTGTTCAAATAATGGTTGCTAGGCCTTAACTCCAGAGCCCAAAATTTGGCATTTCTATCAAGTTCCAGGTGATACTCTTGTTACCAGGGGACCACACTTTGAAAATTTCTGCTTTAAACTAAGGGAGTATCACCTGGTAGGGTGAGCCACCTGGCACTGGGCCTAGGAATTTGAACTGCTGATAAGTAGGTGGTATCTCTGGGCTTAACTCATGTACTCAATTCTGCTGGTCAGTTACTTAATCATTCCACAAACATTTTCAACCTCAACTGTGTGTGTGCGTGCCAGCGCACACGGGTGCAGAGTGGTGTTGTCAGAGCAACTTTTATCAGCATGGACGTCACCCCTCTTTACTTTTAAAGATCTGTGGTTTCTTGGAAGTAGCTTGAAGGTTTGAGAGAATACCTTTGACCTGCTGTGTAAATCAAGCATTCATGGGGTCAGCAGGGCAAAAAAGCTCAGCCTTTCCCTTTGGAGAGGCTTAGGGTGTGGTCTGCTGCTGGCCAGGTTTTCCTCAGCCCCCAACATCTGTGGCCACAGCAGGCAGAGCCTCATTCTCCACCTCACCATTTTTGTCACTTTGGGGGCTTAATTAGATTACAGGTGGCCAAAACCTCTCTTCTCCTTAATGAAGAATCACATTGGATTTTTATCTTTGGTTGTTAGTCTACACTACAGTTGTGTTCCCAGTCCAAACTACCTCTGTAAAGTGACTCTTCCAGTGCTGTCTATTAAATCCTGCCCTCCTTGGTGCTAGACTCCAATTGTGCCTCGGGGCAGAGGAGACAAAACACAGCTATCCTGTTGGCGTCTGTTGTGGTTTTGAAGGTTGTACTTTCTCTGAGGGTGCCAGTTAATTATTGGATAGTGAGGAATATGTACTTCTATGGCTTCGAACCAAGAAAGGGTTATGAGCTGACTGGGTGGAGGTTAAAATCCAGGAATCAACGTTGAGAGCTTTGCTTTTCTCTCATTCCATCCCCCTTAAGTGCTGATACCTAGATTAGCTAAACATGAGCAGAGTGAATGACAGAGTCAAACATTAAGGTCTAAATAGCCTGTTATTGTCTCAGATGCCAAGGAATAATAAAACTATGACAAAAGAAATGAGAGTCAATGTTTAGTAGTGACCCTGGTGATCTCCAGACATCTTGGCAAGCGCTGGAATAAGATACCCTTTAGAAACAGGACCTTATCAGGAAGGTAAGAAAAATCAAGGCCAGTTAAGACAAAGTGCTATGAATTTGAAACTCACAGACAGAAACATCAGTTTAGTGTAGGTCTCTGGGTATTCAGGATAGAGAATCTCATGAAAAACCTGAATTTCAGAGGTTTTTAGACTAGGTTGCCAAAGCGTGAAACCAGTGAAGGAGAAAATATTTAAAGCTTAATTCCATCCTTCCTGAGCTCTTAAGATTGTGGTAATACAATGATCTCATCAACTTTCATTTCTGAATCCTATTCATTTGGAATTTAACGCCTGACTTGTTTTGAACCCAAATTTCTCTTTTCTCCTCTTCCTGTTCACATCTGTTTGGAGACGATATCCCCATTTCTTTGGCTCCTTATTCTGCTCTCAGATTTTCCTTTCAGTAATTTCTTTTCCGTATCTGATATATCTAGTTTATTGATTCTGCCTAGCCCACCTGATGCAGTGGATATAGATACCAACCAAAAGTCCTAAATCCTCCTAGAGACCTTGAACATGCTTCAAAAGCAGTTGCCCCACTCAATTTCTATAATGCTAGGGAGAGGGCTATCTGTTACCATCCCCACAGTTACAGAATTTTCAGTGCTGTCTTCAGTCTGTGATAGAGGAACACTCAGCCCCCCCCCCCGCCCCACTTTACCCACAAATGGAATCCTCACTGTGTCCACCAGGGGGTTAGAGATTAAGGTTTCTTTACTACTATGGTAGGGTTGTCTGGAATTCTTTTTCAGGTTGTGGGGCATTGGTCTTGGGTTCTAGCCTCAAGGGTCTCCTTATAAGGAGCTGGAATGGCAAGGGGTGCATTTTCATGTCATTTGTTTTTGATCCTGTCCTCTCTAGCTGCTTCTTTCAGAAGATACATCTAAAGATAAAAAGTCTGCATTTCATATAATGCCTTAATCACTGGGTCTACAATTAATGTTGACTGTTTTAGATTGTAAGCTCCTAGAGAGCAGTATTGCTGTAGTAGAAATGTTTTAAGTGTCATGTGCAAAAGAACAAAATAAATATTTTGATTTTGTGATTTTATGCATGTCTGTCTACCCAGAGTGATACCAGAATTAGCTAGTCCTCTTCAGAGTCCTCATATAGTCTGATGTCTCGCTTCAGTACTACTCCTAGTCTCTTCCATAGTGTAGTAGGATGAACGTGGATTTTGGAGTCAAGCATACCTGGATTTCAGTCCTGGCTCCAGCACTTCCTAACAGTATGACCTTCGTCAAGTTATTTAATAATCCCTGAACTTTAGTTTTCACTTATAAAGAGGCAAATAGTACCTATTTGAATTAGCAGCAATATATGTAAAGCACCCAGCACAAATAGGCATCCAAACTATAATAAGTATATTTGTATTATCTGATTACTGTTATTCTAAGCTTTCAGGAAAATGAAAGGTATAGTGTCTTAGTCATCTAGTGCAGCTATAACAGAAATACCACAAGTGGATGGTTTTAATGAAGAGAAGTTTATTTCCTCACAGTCAAAGTAGGCTCAAAGTCCAAATTCAGGGTGTCAGCTCCAGGCGAAGGCTCTGTCTCTTGGCCTTCTCATCAGTGTTCCCCCAGACTAGGAGCTTCTCGGCACAGGGACCCCTGTCCAAAGGACGCACTCTGCTCCTGGCGCTGCTTTCTTGATGATATGAGGGTCCCCCCCGCCACCCCGCGTCTCACTGCTCACTTCTGTCTTTTATATCTCAAGACATTGCCTCAGGATACAATCCAATCTTGTAGACTGAGTCCTGCCTTACTAACACAACTGCCGCCCATCCTCCCTCATTAACATCATAGAGGCAGGATTTAGAACTTATAGGAAAACCACAGAATACCAGGAATCACGGCCCAGCCAAATTGATACATACATTTTTTGGGGGACATAATTCAATCCATGACATACAGTTTTCTGGATAAGATTGGTATCTCTTCACAAGCACCTGACCATCTTCCTAGAAATGAGCAGTAGGAATACAGAGTTGATGCACATGATTTCAGTAGTGCCCAAAAAGACAGGTGCATTCTTATCTGCTGGTCTAGTAATTGCCTCATTTTTACAAAGAAAATTTCCTGAGAACTGAAAAAGCAACCTCTTACCCTAACATCCCCACTTTCTTAGACCCAGCTGTGAAAAAGTAGGAAAGCAGTGTAGCAAGGATGTTTAGAGGCAGTGGTTCAGAAATCACACTGCCTAGGTCAAATCTCAGCTTGACCACTTAATAGCTAAGCATCAGTTTCACCTTCTGGAAAACTAGGCTAAAGGAGCTTCCTCATAGGAGTTAAAAATTAAATGAGGTAATCTGCATAAAGCACTCAGTACACTGCCTTACAAACTAAGCCCTGAGTGTTGGCTGCTAGTATGTAAGGGGGAGAAATCAAGGAGGCACATGGTTCTGTATAAGCTTCTGTACCTGTTAAACACCCACTCTGCTGGGAAGCCAGTGACAAGGGCTGAGGCACACCCTTGTTCTTCCCTTCTTTGTTTTTATGCTCTTCCATATTGGCCTTTGCAGGCTTCAAAATATAACTTGATTTCCCTATCTGAAGCCTGACTTAATGTGTTGTTAAGACTTTGAGATAACAGAATTTAAGGTCCTGGGTAAAACTGAAAGAATAAAGGTTTTGTATAATGGCTGGAACTAGAAGGAAACTATCCCCTTCTGCCCTGCCTCTCCCACATTCCTATCACTTAGATTTAAGCTACTCTGGAAAGGCTGGGTAAAATCCAGCTAAGGTCTCCTTAGAACTGACGGTTTCAAAAATTGCTACCACAGCTGGTGGTTCCCTGTAGTTGAATTAAGAAGTAAAAATAATGGGCCATAATTCAAAATTATCCCCTGAGCTGTTGCTTCTCAGACTGGTTTCTGGTGGGAAAAATTCTTAGGCAAGTTGCGAAAGGAAGGAGAACTGGAATGATGGTGATACTGTCAGGAGCACTCCTATTATTTCCCTCCATTGCCTGTCCTCCTAAAGTTATACCCAAACTAGTCACAAAGCCATTCTGTAAACAGAGGTTCTGGAAACTCACAACTTCATCAAGTTTACATAAAATTACTAGAATCTAATCTCCACAAGGGCAGGGATCTTTGTCAGTTTTGTTCACTGATGTTTACCAAGGGCCTGGAACAGTGCCTGGCACGTCATAGGTGTTCGGTAAATATTTGTTGAATAAATGAGTTAAATGAGTGACATGGATGAACTCTAATAAAGATGGGAAGGAATGATTATTACCTCTCATAGCAATTACCTTTTAAAATCTGGGAGTTAACAATACCATTCTACTTCATTAAGGATATCCATTTTTCCAAAAATATATTTATTTTAAAAAACAAAAATCAGACAAATTATAATTTAAAGAGTCAAATTTTCCAGAGACAAACTAGAGTTTGGATTCTGGCTTAAAGTAAAAGTTATGTAAACTCACGCAGAAGTATTCCTCACTGCAAGAGGTAAACATTTTGCTTGATCACGTACTCAATTCTCTAAATCTTGTTCAACGGGTTTGGTTTTTTAGTTTGTTTATACTTCTGCCATCATTTTAGTCTGTTCCAGGGTTCTGGCATGCAAAATTCATGTCTACCTCTAAAATTCAAAACTTCCAAATTGAGACGAACGATTGTTGGGCTTGGGTTGGGGTTTATAACCAATTCGATCATTAATCATTTGTTCTCGGCTCTTGGGGTCACTGCTGAGCCCAATGGCTCCTTCTCCATCACTTCCTCCCACAACTTCCACATCTTCCTTTTGTTTCTTACGGGTCTGAAAGTATAAAAGTTTTAGGATTAAGGCAACATTCTTTCAATTAACAAACACTTAGCACCTACTGTATACTAGGCATAGGGTAAGAAAGGGCTAGGATCTATAGAAAAATAAACCGAAATCCTAGGTTTCAAGGAGTAAAATTCTAAAGCTAGAGATACAGTGATAAAAGATATGACCTCTACCCTCCAGGATGTCACAGTCTAATAGGGAAATAGGTAAACAGACACTTACAACATAGGGTGATCAGGGCTATGCCAGAAGGAAGCCCACAGTGCCAAAGAGACACAAGGAAGAGGTGAGGAACTGGGTGTGTGGCGGTGGTGGAGATTCAGAGCAGGAGGCTACAATTTGGACAGAGTTACTCGGATAAGGGGGGAGAGAACAGATGGGGGAAAAAAGGCTGGTAAAACAATAACCACCAAAATTTACAGCCTGCCCAAACCCTTGAGACTAAAAGTAACACTAGAAGGTTTTGTGCTGTCTTATCAAAAGGTCTGAGTTTCTGAAGAACTAGGTGGTGCCTGGCTACCACCAATGGTGCCTGGCTACCACCAATGACCGCCCTGACAGGGAACACAACAGAGAGTCCCTCCTGGAGCAGGAGAAAGATGGGTTGCAGAACTCAAATTCTAGTAAGAAGACCAGACTTAATGGTCTGACTGAGACTGGAGGTACCCCAGAAAGCATGGCCCCTGGATTGTCTATGAGCCCAGAACTAAAACAATTTCCAAGGCCAACTCTTCAGACAGGGATTGGACTGGACTGTGGGACATAAAGTGATACTCATGAGGAGTGTGCCTCTTATCTCAAGTAGATACAAGAGACTACATGGGCAACTTCTGTCCGGAGGTGAGGCAGGAAGGCAGAGAGGGTTAGGAGCTGGTTGAATGGACGTGGGGAATCAGATGGAAAGGAGGAGTGTGCTGTCACAGTATGAGGAGCGCAATTAGAGTTACAAAACAATGTATAAATTTTTGTATGGAAAAAAATTTAAAAAAGGTCTGAGTTTTTGGGTTTTATTTTGTTTTCAGATAAAGGGTTTGGCTATTAAGTCACAAGTAACTACATAATTCATAAAATTTTTATCTTTTGGAAGTTATTTCCAAACAGGAACACTTATCCCATACCTGCTACTACCTGACTGTAAAGATGATGTTAATGCTAATAGTGTTCTCTAAGAGACTGAGCAGATGTTTTGTCTAGAGTGCCTGACTAGAGGAAAGCTCAACTACTCTAATCACTGGAATTGCTGCTATTCTTTACCACTTACTGCTGAACTGTGAGCATTTAAATGCCAATGTCAAAGGATTATAGTGAATCAAATAAGGTACTGCTTTATATGTGATAAATATCGTGACCTTCCTGAGTTACAGAGTAAGTACACTACCAATAAGTAATACTATGAAATTTCTTCCCAAACACCTTTGTGAAAACAAGTTCTAAAAGGCAGAGAGCGCTATCCTTTTTTAAGTCATGAGAAATTCTGAGAATATCCAAAGGGGATGAAATCATTTAAAAGACTTCCTTTGTGAAAGGTCACGGAAGCTCCATAGACACATCCAAACTCCCTGAGGGACTGAATTGCTGGATGGAGGGCTGTTGGGACCATGGTCTCGGGGAACATCTAGCTCAACCGGCATAACACAGTTTATAAAGACAATGTTCTCCATTCTACCTTGGTGGGTAGCGTCTGGGGTCTTAAAAGCCTGTGAGCAGCCATCTAAGATACTCCACTGGTCTCATCCCTTCAGGAGCAAGGGAGAATGAAGACAACAGGATACAAGGAAAAGATTAGTCTGAAGGACTAATGGACCACAGCTACCAAGGCCTCCACCAGACTGAGTCCAGTAAAGCTAGATGGTGCCCAGCTACCACCACTGACTGCTCTGACCAGGATCACAACAGAGGGTTCTGGACAGAGCTGGAGAAGGATGTAGAACAAAATTCTAACTCACAAAAAAAACACCAGATTTACTGGCCTAAAGGAGACTGGAGAAACCCCGAGAGTATGGCCCCCAGACACCCTTTTAGCTCAGTGGTGAAGTCATCACCGAGGTTACCGTTCAGCCTGGGAGTGGACAGCCCCATAAAACCAAATGGGACTAATGAGGTACAGCAGTCCAGGGACAAGGGTCAGAAGGCAGAAGGGGACAGGGAAGCTGGTGATAGGGAACCCAAGGTTGAGTAAGGATAGTGTTGATGTGTTGTGAGGTTGTTAACCATTGTCATAGGGCAACATGTGTACTAACTGTTAAATGAGAAACTATTTTGTTCTGTAAGCCTTCATCTTAACTGAGAATAGCAGCACAATTGGAAGAGCGTACTCAATGTCACTGAACTGTGCATGTAGAAATTTTTGAAATGGTGTATCTTTGGCTATGTGTATTTTCACCAAAAAAAAAGGTCGAGAAGGGAGAGGGTTGACATGTTGTGGGGTTGTTAACCAATGTCATAAAACAATATGTGTACTACTGTTTCACGAGAAACTATTTGTTCTGTAAGCCTTCACCTGAAGTACAATAAAAAAAAAATAAAGAAAAAAAAAAGACTTCCTTTGTGAACAACTGCAGACTGTCAGAATCTGGGGTCATGGTAGTATATTCAAACTAATTTCAGTAACAAAGTACCAGTTTTCTACTGGTTTCATTTTAGTTCAGAGCAAGACTGTCCCTTCCTCCTAAGTTTCTCTGAAACAGGTCAAACCCACTGGATAATTGTATTTAGTGAAAGACTGACTCAAGAGTGAGCTGGCACTGCAGAGTCAAAGTTAGGTATGCTAGTATTTTATGAGACTCATTACAAATGAAGTTCAAACCATACTTAAAGCTCATCCTTAATAAAAAGCAAAAAAAAATTATGACTAGAATCTGTTGGGGTGAGGAAAGGGAAAAATAAATCAGTTATCAGTCTTAATAAGAAGCATATACAATACATAGTAAAGCCATTATACGCATGAATACATATAAGATGTAATGTCCTCTGCCATACAGTATGACATGTTTATTAAGTCAGCAAATCAAAGGAGACTTGTATTGAGCCCCTCTTATGGGACTGCTGTTGTGGGGAAAAGCTGCAGAGATGAATATACTAATTCCTACCTTCAAGGAGCTTATGGCCTATTGGAGGAAAACAAACACAGGTCATTACAACAGAGAGTGACAGTACCTATGAGAGAGGTTAGCAGAGAAGGAAGAGGCTGAACTTAACCCAGCTAGGGACAGGGGGCAAGGGAGGCTTCTGAAAGGAGCTGAGTTTCAAAGGATGAGTGGGAGTAAGCCTGACGAACAGGAAAAGGGCATTTCAGGCAAAGGGAAGAGAGTGTGCACAGGCACTAAAATTAGAGTTAGCAGTAGAAGATAAAGTGGAGAGATGAGCAGGGACAAAGTCACAAAGGGCCTCATATGCCATGCTAAGGAATTTGGACTTTATCCGGAAATGCTACTGAAATACTTAAGCCTTATTAATGACATCTAATATTGTAGGTTAAGGCCACACTTAAAAATACATATTGAGCTCCTACAATATGCTAGATGCCGGGAACCCAATGGTGAAAAAGACAGATATGATCCCTGCAATCTAGACTCCTTCTATAAATGATCTTACAATAATCAAATAAATAATTGAAAATCCTAATAACTATGAAATAAAAGAATAAGGTACTTTAAGAGAGCCTAATCGGATGGAGTAAGAATGAAACACTAAGTTGGATACAGTCAAACGAAGCCTCTCAATCTGTCTCAATTTAAACTGAGACATGAGGAACGAGGGGACTCTCCAGGCAGAGAAAATAGTATGTGCAAAAGCTGTGAAGTGACAAATAGTTGGCATGTTCAAGAAAATGAAAGGCAGCCAGTGTGCCTAGGGTATCGAGGACAAGGCAAAGAGTGGCATGCAGTGAAAATGGAGAGGGCCAGAACATACAAAGTTTTGTAGGCCATGGTAAGGAGTTCAGATTGTATTCTAAGTGCAGGAAACCACTGATGAATTTTAAACAGGAGAAATAATATGATCCGAAATATTTTAAAGATCACTCTAGCTACCTGATGGATTGAAAAGACAAAAATGGAAGAAGGAAGACCATTTAGGAGGCTATCAAAATTGTACAGGGAGAGATGATGGTTACTTGAGTTAGGGTTGTAACAGTGCAGGTAAAAAGGTACGAGTAGATTCTAGACATATTCTGGAGGTAGAATCAAAGGATTGATGGATAGACTGAATATAAAGGGTAAGGGAAAGAGAGGACTCAAGAATGACTCCCAGGTTTCTGGCCCGAGCAACTGGATGGATGGTGGTACCATATACTGAGATGGGGAACTCTAGGGGAGAAACTGGTTTGAGGGAGAATCAAGAGTTTGTTTTTTGAACATGTTAAGTATAGGAGGCTGAATAATGGCTCCCAAAGATCTCATGTCCTAATCCCTGGAACCTGTAAATGTTATACCTTATATGAGAAAAGGGTCTTTGCAGAGATGATTAAGTTAAGGATCTTGGGGAGAGTATCCCGGATTATCTGGGTGGCCCTAAATGCAATCACATGTATCCTTATAAGGAGGCAGAGGGAGATATCACAGACAGAAGAGGAGGCAGTATGACCACAGAAACAGATTGGAGTGATGTGGCTATAAATCAAGGATGCCAGCCATGGCAGTCAAAACAGCCTGGTACCGGTACAACAACAGATACATGAACCAATGGAACAGAATTGAGAATCCAGACATAAATTCATCCACCTGTGAGCAGCTGATATTTGACAAAGGCCCAAAGTCCATTAACTGGGGAAAAGACAATCTCTTTAACAAATGGTGCTGGCGTAACTAGATATCTATCTGCAAAAAACTGAAACAAGACCCATACTTACACCACGCACAAAAACTAACTCAAAATGGATCAAGGACTTAAATATAAAATCAAAAACGATAAAGATCACGGAAGAAAAAATAGGGACAACGCTAGGAGCCCTAATACACGGCATATACACAATACGAACCGTAAGTAACAATGCACAAGCACCAGAAGAGAGACTAGATAACCGGGAGCCCCTAAAAATCAAACACTTATGCTCATGAAAAGACTTCACCAAAGACTAAAAAGACAACCTACAGACTGGGACAATGTGATGGTTTAAGATTGTGTGTCAACTTGGTTGGGCCATGATTCTCCGTGTTTTAATGTAATCACTCCTATGATTGAATATACTGTGAGTAGCCAATCAGATGAAAGGGAGTCTCCTTGGGGGTGTGGCCCCCATCTGTATATAAGCAGACGTTCTGGCTTTTTGCTCTCTCTGGATCCTGCGGCTGCTTTCTGTCGTCTCATCTCCCGTTCTTGGGACTTGAGCTGTCAGCTTATCTGCCGAACCTGGGATTCGTCGATCTGCACAGCCTGTGAGTGGGAGCCCTGCTCTCCGACCTTCCAATCTTGGGCTTGCCAGCTTCTGCAGCTGTGTGACTTGGGAGAGGCCTCTACCCTGATCCACGGACTTGGGACATTCTAGCCTCTACAATCACATGAGCTGTTTCCGTGATACAATCTCTCTCTCTATATATATTTATACACTTTACTGGTTTTGCTTCTCTAGAGAACCCAGCCTAAGATAGAAAAAAAATTTGGCTATGACAAGTCTGATCAGTGTCTAATCTCTAAAATCTACAAGATACTGCAAAACCTTAACAACAGAAAGACAAATAACCCAATTAAAAAATGGGCAAAGTATATGAACAGGCACTTCACGAAAGAAGATATTCAGGTGGCTAACAGACACATGAAGAAATGCTCATGATCATTAGTCATTAGAGAAATGCAGAACAAAACTACAATGAGATATCATCTCACCCCAACAAGGCTAGCATTAATCCAAAAAACACAAAATAATAAATGCTGGAGAGGTTGTGGAGAGACTGGAACACTTAGACACTGCTGGTGGGAATGTAAGACCGTACAACCACTTTGGAAATCAATTTGGCACTTCCTTAAAAAGCTAGAAATAGAAGTACCATATGATCCAGCTATTCCACTCCTTGGAATATATCCTAGAGAAATAAGAGCCATCACACCAATAGATATATGCACACCCATGTTCATTGCAGCACTGTTCACAACAGCAAAAAAGATGGAAACAACCTAGGTGTCCATCAATGGACGAACGGATAAACAAATTATGGTATAACCACAGAATGGAATACTACCCAACGATAAAGAACAATGAAGCTGTGAAATATAACATGGAGGAAGCTGGAGGTCATTATGCTTAGTGAATTCAGTCAGTCACAAAAAGACAAATATTGTATAAGACCACTATTATAAGAACTCAAGAAAAGGTTTAAACGCAGAAGAAAATATTCTTTGATGGTTATGAGGGTGGGGAGGGACGGTGAGGGTTATTTACTAACTAGATAGTAGATAAGAATAATCTTAGGTGAAGGAAAGGACAGCACACACTACAAAGGAAGTCAGCACAACTGGACTAAACCAAAGCTAAGAGAATAAAATCCTGTTCTTTAAAGCTACGAAGTTTGTGGTAATTTGTTATGGCAGCCACAGGAAACTAACATATTAAGTTTGAGATGCCTGTAAAGCATCCAAATACAGATTTCAAATAGGCTGTTAGTATAAGAGTCTGGAGTTCAGAAGTTAGTTATTGTTTTAAATATTCCTAAGAGTTTGAAAGTTGTACTCTTACCTCCAGGTCCTTTCGAATGCTCTCAAACTCCTCGATGTCATCAAGCTTCAGCTCCAGGCGAGTTGGTTTTCGTCGCAGCATAATGAAATCAACACCAAGGGCCAGAACCATTTAACTATTAGCTGTTAAAAGTAGCAGAAAAGAAGAAAAACTGGAGAGAATGAATCTGGGCTACTGTTATGGATTGAATTCTGACCCCTAAAAATACGCCTTGTAAATCTTAACCTATATGCCTGTGGTTATAGTCCTATTTGTGAATGGGTTGTGTTTGTTATGTTAATGAGGCAGGATAAGGTTATATCAATGAGGACTGGGTTATGTTTATTATGTTAATGAGACAGGATTAGGGTGTGTTTTGAGTCAATCGCTTTAGAGATATACAGCTATACCTGAATTCATTCTATGAAGCCATCATAACCCTAATACCAAAGCCAAGCTAAGACACTACAAAAAAAGAAAATTACAGACCAATACCTTTCATGAATATAGATGTAAAAATTCTTAACAAAATTCTAGCCAATAGAATTCACTATCGTATCAAAAAATAATACACCACCACCAAGTGGGATTCATACCAGGTATGCAAGAATGCTTCAACATTAGAAAATCAATCAACGTAATCCACCCATAAATAAAACGAAAGAAAAGAACCACACGATCATCTCAATTGATGCTGAAAAGGCATTTCATAAAGTCCGAAACCCATTCCTAATAAAAACTCTCAGCAAAATAGAAACAGAAGGGAAATTCCTCAACATAATAAATGGCATCTATACTAAACCGACAGTCAACATCATTCTCAACAGAGAGAGGCTGAAAGCATGGGAACAAGACAAGGATGCCCTTTATCACCACTCCTATTTAACATTGTGCTGAAAGTCCTACCTAGAGTAATAAGGCAAGAAAAATAAAGGGCATCCAAATTGGAAAGAACAGAGAACCCCAAAGATTCCACAAGAAAACTACTGGAACTAATAGAAAGATTCAGCAGAGTAGCAAGATACAAGATCAACATACAAAAGTCAGTTGGATTCCTATACATCAACAAAGAGAACTTCAAAAAAGAAATCAAGAAAACAATACCATTTATAATCACCCCTAAAAAAAAAAAAAACACTTAAGAATATATCTAACTAGAGACATAAAAAACCTATACAAAGAAAACTACAAAACACTACTGCAAGAAACCAAAACAGACCTACATAAATGGAAAAACATACCATGCTCATGGACAGGAAGACTCAACATTATGAAAATGTCATTTCTACCCAGAGCAATCTACAGGTATAATGTTGTCCCGATCCAAATACCAACAGCACTCTTTAACAAGATGGAAAAACTAATCACTAACTTTATATGTAAAGGAAAGAGGCCCCAGATAAGTAAAGCATTACTGAAAAAGAAGAACAAAGTAGGAGGCTTCACACTACCTGATCTCAGAACCTACTATACAGCCACAGTAGTCAAAACGGCCTGATACTGGTACAATGACAGATACATTGACCAATGGAACAGAATTGAGAACCCAGGCATAAATCCACCCACCTATGGTCAGCTGATCTTTGACAAAGAGCCAAAGTATAGTAAATGGGGAAAAAGCAGTCTCTTTAACAAATAGTGCTGGCAAAATTGAATGTCCATCTGTAAAAAAATGAAACAGGACCCATACCTCAGACTATACACAAAAACTAATTCAAAATGGATCAAAGACCTAAACATAAAACCTAAAACTATAAAGACCTTAGGAGAAAAAATAGGGACAACACTAGGGCCCCTAATATATGGCATAAATAGGATACAAACCATAACTAACAATGCAAAAGCACCAGAAAATAAACTAGATAACTGGGAGCTCCAAAAGAGTAAACACTTATGCTCATCAAAAAACTTCACCAAAAGAGTAAAAAGAGAACCTACAGTTTGGGAAAATATTTTTGGCTATAACATATCCAACAAGGGCCTCATCTCTAAACTCTACAAGATACTGCAACATCTCAACAACAAAAAGACAATTCAATTTAAAAACGGGCAAAGGATATGAATAGACACTTCACCAAAGACATTCAGGAGGCTAACAGACACATAAGGAAATGCTCACAACAATTAGCCATTAGAGAAATGCAAATCAAAACTACACTGACATACCATCTGACTCCAACATTACTGGCACGAATCAAAAAAAGAGAAAATAACAAGTGTTGGAAAGGCTGCAGGGAGATTGGAACTCTTATGCGCTGCTAGTGGGAAGGTAAATGGTACAATCACTATGGAAAACAATATGGCACTTCCTTTAAAAAGGCAAAATAGAAATACCATACGATCCAGCAATCCCACTCCTAACAATATTATCCTAGAGAAATAAGAGCCGTCACACGAATACAGAGACATATGCACACCCATGTTCACCGCAGCATTATTCACAATAGCAAAAAGATGGAAAAAACATAAGTGCCCATCAACAGATGAATGGATAAACAAACTATGGTACATACACACAATGGAATACTACGCAACGATAAAAACAATGATGAATCTGTGAACCATCTCCCAATACGGATGAGTCTGGAGGGTATTATGTTGAATGAAATAAGTCAATCACAAAAGGACAAATACTACATGAGACCACTACTATAAAAACTCAAGAAAACGTTTACACACAAAAAGAAACAATCTTTTCATGGTTACGAGGGAGGGAAGGGGTAGGGAGGGAAAAACACTTACTAGATAGTAGATAAATGTATCTTTGGTGAAGGGTAAGACGGTACACAATACTAGAGAATTCAGCACAACTTGACCAAGGCAAAGTCATAGAAGCTTCATAGACACTTCCAAACACCTGAAGGACTGAGTTACTGGGGCTGAGGGCTGGGGACCATGGTCGAGGGGGTCAGCTAGGTCAACTGGCATAACAAAGTTCATAAAGAAAATGCTCTATACTCAACTCTGGTGAGTAGTATCTAGGGTCTTAAAAGTTTGTGAGCAGCCATCTAAGATACATCTACTAGTCCCATCCCATCCAGAGCAAAGGAGAATGAAGAAAGCCAAAGACACAAGGGAAATAATAGTCCAAATGACTAATGAACCACAAACAAGTACCATAGCCTCCACCAGCCTGAGCCCAGAAGAACTAGATGGTGCCTGGCTACCACCACCAATCACTCTGACAGGAATCACAATAGAGGGTCCTGGGCAGAGCAGGAGAAAAATGTAGAACAAAATTCAAATTCACATACACACAAAAAAAGACCAGACTTACTGGTATGAGAGACAGAGACAGAGACTGGAAGAAATCCGGAGACTGTGGCCCCCGGACACACTTTTAACTTGAGCTAAAGCCACTCCCGAAGTTCACCCTTCAGCCAAAGATTAGACAGGTCTATAAAACAAACAATAACATACATGAGGAACATGGTTCTTAGTTCAATCATGTATATGAGACCAAAAGGGCAACACCTGGCCAAAAGCAATGACGAGAAGGCAAGAAGGGACAGGAAAAATGGGGATTATAACCAATGTCACAAAACAATTTGTGTACAAATTGTTCAATGAGAAATTAATTTGCTCGGTAAAGTTTCACCTAAAGCATAATAAAAAATAAATAAAAACGAGATAAAGCAAGCAAGTGAAAGAAGCAGAGATGGGGGAAGAGAGATGCTAAGCCACATGAAGACTGTCCAGAAGACGCAGCTCAAAAGAGACAAGGGCCTTCCTCCAGAGCCAACAGAGACAAAGCTTTCCTGTAGGGCCGGCACCCTCAATTCAGACTTCCAGCCCCCTAAACTGTGAGAATATAAATTTCTGCTTATTAAAGCCACCCACTGCGGTATTTCTGTTATAGCAGCACTAGATAACTAAGACACAAACAAGATTAATTTGTAAGCATGCATGCTAAAGTGAATGGTGGACCAAAAACTCATTTGGATTCATACATAGACTTCTAAGTGTCCAGGTATATGATTATCATTTCTTTATTGAATGATGGGGCCCACAACTCTAATGCCAAAAAACTCTTCAAGAACTTAAAATAGCAAGCTGCCTATAAGAGAGAATTACAGGCAACAATCACTTTAATTTCATGCTCCAGTCACATTCAAAGAAATATTCTAGACAAGAAAATAAAGTTAAAATATCACATCTTAATTCAGTGTAGCTACCTGTGTTTGACTATGTAAAGGCATTCAACTGTGTGGGTCATAACAAGTTATGGATAATATTGCAAAGAATGGGAATTTCAGGACACTTAACTGTGCTCATGAGGAACCTGTACATAGATCAAGAGGCAGTCATTTGAACAGAACAAGGGGATACTGTGTGGTTTAAAATCAGCAAAGGTTTGTGTCAGGGTTATGTTCTTTCACCATACTTATTCAGTCTGTATGAGGAGCAAATAATCCAAGAAACTGGACTATACGAAGAAGAACGTGGCATCAGGATTTGGAGAAATATTCATTAACAACCTGCAATATGCAGATGACACAACATTGCTTGCTAAAGGGCAGAGGACTTGAAGCACTTACTGATGAAAATCAAAGCCTACAGCCTTCAGTATGGATTATACCTCAACATAAAGAAAACAAAAATCCTCACAACTGGACCAATAAGCAACATCATGATAAATGGAGAAAATAATGACGTAGTCAAGGATTTCATTTTACTTGGATCCATAATCAACACGCATGGAAGCAGCAGTCAAGAAATCAAACGACGTATCACATTAAGCAAATCTGCTACAAAAGACTTCTTTAAAGTGTTAAAAAGCAAAGATGTTACCTTGAGGACTAAGGTGCACCTAACCCAAGCCATGGTATTTTCAATCTCCTCATATGCATGTGAAAGCTGAACTATGAATAAGGAAGACCAAAGAAGAATTGGTGCCTTTGAATTAAGGTGTTGACAAAGAATACTGAATATACCATGGACTGCCAGAAGAACAAACAAATCTGTCTTGGAAGAAGTACAGCCAGAATGCTCCTTAGAAGCGAGTATGGCGAGACTTCATCTCACGTACTTTGGACATGTTATCAGGAGGGACATTCCCGGGAGAAGGACATCATGCGTGGTAACGTAGAGGATCCGCAAAAGAGAGGAAGACCCTCAACGAGATGGACTGCCACAGTGGTTGCAACAATGGGCTCAAGCATAGCAATGATTGTGAGGATGGCACAGGAGCGGGCAGTGTTTCATTTTGTTGTTCGTAAGGTCACTATGAGTCGGAATTGACTCGACAACACCTAAGAACAACAAGCGGGAGAGTGGACAAGCTATCAAGTTTAATCCACTAGACATGAGAATTGTCAGCTTTCTGATCACTCCAGAATGCTAGAATTTGCTAAATCGCATGAAAACTCCCTCTAACTCACCAGTTCACAGGGTTATCCTCAGGGTCTGAATGGATAAGTCATTTATTCAACAAACACTTCTTGTGCTCCGGCTACACAGTTAAAAGACACAGTCTGTGGGGAAACAGACAAGAAAACACAAAATTGCAATATAGAATAACAAGAACTCTGATGAGGGTAATGCAATGTCATCACAGAGGCACCTAATCCACTCTGGATTGAACATAGGGTGGAAAGGGATGTCAGGAAGGCTTCCTAGAGGAGATGATGTCTTAGTTCAGTTCTGAAGGACAGGCAGAGAAAGGTGATTAAAGGCATTTCAGGCAGAAAGAACAGTTTGCAGAGGCTCAAGAGAGCACTCCACAGTCTAAGAACCCAAGGTAATACCTGTGCTAACAAAAAAACAAACATTTTTTGAGAAGAAAACAAAACCCCCACAATTGAGTTTAGCATCGGTTGATGGCATTATCTATATATTCATACACAGCATCCAGTAAAGTATATTTTTATCAAGTAGTCAGTAAATGCTTGTTGAATAAAACAAGATCCAAACAGAGCAAGTGAGATGAACTTTTCTTGAGGACTGTACTAAGATTTTCCACTCCCATTCTTTACATTCTTATTTTAATCTTCACAGAAACCCTGTGAAGCTGGCAAAACTATCCCCATTTTTCAGATAAAGAGGTCGAGGCAAGCTGTTCAATTTGGCTAATAATGTCAGCCTCCTATAATAATCATACATACTTCACAGGGGGAGGATTAAATGACGATGATGTAAATGAAAGCCCTTTATAAGTATGTGCAGATATAAATTTTTATTTGTAGCTAGGGACTGTGAAGTACGCAAATGAAGATGCGTTTCCTCTTCCCATGACACTTGGGACTGACTGTTATTACCTATGCAAAACGCTGGCACATTACGTTTCAAATTGCTTTGTACTAAATCAGATACACTCTTCTACTAGTTTCCCATGTAAACAACTGGTAGAAGAAGCCAAAGTTCCAAAGAAAGCATGAGGGATGAATACTTAAGAGAAAAAAGTGCTATAAGTTTTCTTAGCTTTTCTGCAAACTGTGAAAACCTCGACACCAGGAAGTTGTATAGAGTAATGGTTAAAAATGCAGGCTCTCCCACTCCGCCACTATGAACAATTACCATCAGCTCTCACTAGGCCTTAGTTTCCTCACCTGTATCTGTACCCTGTAGTAATGACTGAATGACATAATGTAGATTAACTTCCTGGCACATAATTTGGCATTTAGTAAACGCCCACGCTAGAAGCCTAAAGGAAAGGTTGGCGGTTGGTATATATCTAGAGGCACCTCAGAAGAAAGCCCTGGTGATCTACTTCTGAAAAATCAAGCCATTGAAAACCCTATGGAGCACAGTTCTATTTTGACACATATGGATGGGGTCGCCATGCGTCAGAATCGTCTCCATACTAACTGGTTTTTGATTTCATTATTATTGTAATTTTCCTTAGTTGGGGGCGCTTCTATCCAGCTCCGGTAACATCAATATTTTGAGGCTCCCCCACTCACCATGTGGGGGCAAAAACCTTGTTTTGTGTCATCTCTGATGCCCCAGCAAGCAAAAGAGCACAGGGCTGTTCCGAGAGTTGTTTGCGTACACCTTACCTGCCGCTTTCATATCCATCATCTCACTCTGAATGTGAAAGACCAGGCTAAGGACTAATAACCAAATCAGGCCATGGCTCCTCAGCCAGGTCTTTATTTACTTTGGCGCTAGAGGGGCTCTTCAAGCTTAACTCTCGCCGCAGCCCAAATCCGCCAGAAATTCACAACTCAGAAGCAGCCCTTTGGAGGGCTTCGCGAAAGCAGAGAACAACCCTCCTCCAGAGCCAAGGCGGCACTGAGGGGATTCAGGGCGATGGTTTCCATGGCAACAAGGTCCCCCGCTCCGGGACGACGTAAAGCCTGCCGTAGGCCCAGGACGGACTGCAGGCCCCGGAAGCCCTCAATCAGTTCCAAGGTTCAGTCCAGAGCTGCGCCACTGGATACACCTACCTCCTTTCAAGCCTTTTCAGTTCAGCCCCTTCCCGGAACCTCGGCACCCATTACCAATCTACCGCTAAAACGAGTGGACTACACTTCCCAGACTTCTTTGAGCCTCTCTCCCTATGGACTCTTGTCTCCCGCGTGTTTTACTCGGAGACTGCACGAGTTACGCCTCCCGACGTGATCAGAATCTTTCCTACTACGATTCCTATCATGCTCCGCGCCACCCTGGTCGCTGCGCCGGTTCTAGGCCCAGTTCCGGTTGATGACGCAGTTCCGCTTTGCTGGGCGCGCGGCGGACGGTCTGATTGTAGAGCTCGGTTTTCGCTGGAGTTTCGCGGCTCCAGAGCCCAGCATGGCCTCCTCACGACCCTCCTCCACGGTACAGAACTCACTCTGGCAGGGAGCGCGGAGTGATGACTGCAGGATGGGGCCGTTGGGAAATGAGCTAAGGCGGTGGAGGGCTGAGGAGGGAGGCTGCGGGACTCATTCTCTTGGAGAACTGAGCCCCGTTTTCCTGGTACCTAAGCGCTTTCATATGCTTTAGTCCATTTGCACCTCTCTCAGTACAGCCCTGAACGGTAAACACTTACTCCGACTGATCCAAAAACGGAGACCTAAAAGGGAAATGTCTTGGTCAAGCTTTACGTCTGTGTCAGTCCTGGGACTTGTAATGAGGCCTGCTAATTACTTATCTGCTGTCGTTTGAGATGAATAGACCATTACTCCCCCTTAGCACCAGGTTGGTTATTTTATTCAAGTAACCAACCTTTCATTCAAAAGATTTCAACGAAATCCTTGCTGTTTCTTTCGGGATGTGCAGTAATCCTAGAAGGTTCATAAAACCCAAGAAGAGATTGCACTTCCAACTGAGATGAAGTAAACAGGTTCTAAAGTAAAGCGTTGATAGAAAAATCACCAAGAGAAATTCATTAGTTTTATCGACCTCCTACTTCCTGTCTGCAAAACTTAAGTGATGGAGGGACTGAAACACCCTTCAGATCAGGGAGGGACATCTTAACTGGTGTCCAACTTGCCATTTTACTTGGGGAGGAAATAGGATTGAAGCTCAAATGAGCTTTGGGGAAGCCCGGTAAATTTCTAAGATTAAGCCTTAAATTAATTCAGTTCTTTGATTCAGCAGGCAACCAAAACCTCTAAGGCACCTGATGACTTAGTTGCTCCTGTTGTGAAGAAACCCCACATCTATTACGGAAGTTTAGAAGAGAAGGAGAGGGAGCGTCTGGCCAAAGGAGAGTCTGGAATTTTGGGGAAAGAAGGACTTAAAGCAGGAATCGAAGCAGGAAATATTAACATAAGCTCTGGTAAGATGCAATTCGAGTCTGTCTTTACCCTTGGTGCTCAAATTCTCTGTAGTGAATACTCTCAGACATAGATATCACTAGTTTTGTAGTTTCAAAAGTTTTCAGTTCTTAAACTTGCATGTCTAAGGCCATACTAGTTATTAGGTGATAAAAAGCCTTGTTATCATGGAAATCTCATCTTCATAGTTATTGGTTCGAGTTAATTAGTTACATTTGTAAGTGTCCCTATACTGGGACTGTTTTAGAGAGTAGCTTTGACAATTATTAAAATAATGTTTCTATTTTATTTTCTGGATAGAAGGCCTTTGCCGAAGATGTTTTGTACTCTTACTTTCTTTTTCTTTTTTTTCCCCGTGTCACTCACATTTTATTTATTTATTTATTTTAGATACACCAACATGTGTTTTTTGTTGTTGTTTTTTTTAAATAATTGTGCTTTAGGTGAAAGTTTACAGCTCAAGTTAATTTATCATTCAAAAGTTTATATACACATTGTTTTGTGATATTGGTTGCAATCCCCACAATGTGACAGCACACTCCCCCTTTCCACTCCGGGTTCCCTGTGTCCATTCATCCAGTTCCTGTCCCTTCCTGCCTTCTTGTCTTGCTTTTAAACAGAAGTTGCCCATTTGGTCTCTCATGTGTTGTTTTTTGTTTTATAGGCCTGTCTAATTTTTTTTTTTTTAATTGTACCTCAGGTGAAGGCTTACAGAACAAATAGTTTCTCATGAAACAGTAGTACATGTATTTTATGACGTTGATTAACAATCCCACAACATGTCAACCCTCTAACTTCTCAACTTTTTTTTTTTGGTGAAAATACACATAGCCAAAGATACACCATTTCAAAAATTTCTACATGCACAGTTCAGTGACATTGACTACGCTCTTCCAATTGTGCTGTTATTCTCACTTAAGATGAAGGCTTACAGAACAAAATAGTTTCTCATTTAACAGTTACTACAAATGTTGCCCTATGACAATGGTTAACAATCTCACAACACATGAACAATATCCTTGCTCAACCTTGGGTTCCCTATCACCAGCTTTCTTGTCCCCTTCTGCCTTCTGGCCCTTGTCACTGGACTGCTGTACCTCATTAGTCCCATTTGGTTTTACGGAGCTGTCCACTCCCAGGCTGAACGGTGAACCTCGGAGATAACTTCACCACTGAGTTAAAAGGGTGTCTGGGGGCCATACTCTTGGGGTTTCTCCAGTCTCCTTTAGGCCAGTAAATCTGGTGTTTTTTTTGTGAGTTAGAATTATGTTCTATATCCTAGGCCTGTCTAATTTTTGTTTGAAAAGTGGATTTCAGCAGTGGTTTCAGTTCTGGGTTAGCGGAGTGTCCAGGGGGCCATAGTTTCGGGGGTTTGTACTCTTTCTGATCCCATCTAAGTTATGTGTTTGTATTAGGTGTAAAACAAACAAAAAAAAAAACCATTGCCATCAAATCGATTCCGACTCATAGTGACCCTGTAGAACAGAGTCGACCTGCCCCATATAGTTTCCAAGGAGCGCCTGGTGGATTCGAACTGCCGACCTTTTGGTTAGCAGCCGTAGCACTTATGCCACCAGCATTTCCGTATTCGGTGTAAGGTTACCAAAATGATTTGAACCATTTTTCTGCCTTTGAAAGCTGTGTCATTTAGTTTTATGTATTTGGCATAATTTAATAAACTGAAAAACAGTAAACTATATCTGTAAAACACATAATACACTAGGCAGTTGCCTTTCCCTAGCGGCATACACAGATTTCAGTTGTTAGAAATTATTTTTTTCTATTTGAAGATCTGGTGATTATACTGAAGTTGCCTGTTCTTTTTATAGGAGAAGTGTTTGAAATTGAAGAGCACATCAGTGAGCGACAGGCAGAAGTATTGGCTGAGTTTGAGAGAAGGAAGCGAGCCCGGCAAATCAATGTTTCCACAGATGACTCAGAGGTCAAGGCTTGTCTTAGAGCCTTGGGGGAACCCATCACGCTTTTCGGAGAGGGCCCTGCTGAAAGAAGAGAGAGGTGCCCTTCCTAATTCCTAAATATTTACTCTTTTTTTTGTTTTTAATCACAAATTTCTAGTTCCAGATTTGTTGGTCTCAATAGCTGAAACTTTAATAGAGTGTCTCTGATAGTTTTGACATGTTAAGTTGTGTTTATATAGTTTAGCCCATAATCTGAGTCTTAGGACAATTTTTATACCACTAGTAATTTTTTTTTTATAAGCTGTGAAATGGGTGCTAACATGCTTCCCTCCTGCTCTCCTCCTGACACACACACAGATGGTGCTTAGAGTTGGGTAAACATTTGTGGTTGAGCTTTGAAAATTTAGACATCAAATGTATTTCTTGTCAGCTAAATGAAACATGATGAATTTTTTTGGATATTAATGAGGGGCACTCTCTTAAGATAATGCTCAGTTTGTAATTTAAGGTTGAAAAGTCTTATTGACAGACTAGTCACATGCAGTTACAAGAACCCTCTCTTGTCTCCACATCCATCACTACCCACTGTCCCATTTCTCCTTTTCACCTTCTTCAAAGAGTTTTTTACATTTACTTTCTTCACTTCCTACCCCTTATTTACTCTTCAACCCATTGCAAACTGATTGAGCCCTGTTGTTGTTGTTGTTGTTAGTTGTTGTCAAGTCGCCCTACCACATTGCAATTGCTCATTATCAAGGTCACCAACCCATCTTTACTAATATAGCCCTAGTACAGTGCCAGCCACTCCCTCCTTGAAACACTCTCTTGCCTTGACTCTCAGGAGACCACATCTTCCTGATTTTCTGCCTGTCCCTGGCTAATTCCTCTCACTTGCCTTCTAGGCGTCTTTTTTTCCTGCTTAGCAGTGAACTCAGACATAGCAACGATCATGAAGATGGCACAGGACTGGGCAGTGTTTCGTTCTGTTGTACATAGGGTGGCCATAAGTCGGAACCAACTCGGTGGCACCTAACAAGAACACCTTTATATCCTTTATATGCTATGGTTCTTTACCCTCATCCTCTACTCACCCTGTGGCATCATTTGCTGTGTATATTCTGATGACTCCCAAATCTCTGTTAAGCCTAGGTATCCCCAAGGCATCTCAAAATTGACATGTCTAAGTTGAACTCATCTGTTCCCCACCCCTCTTCTGTTTTCCTAGCAAGTGGCTCTATTTTCCTAGCAAGTGGTTCTACCATTCACACAGTTCTTGGCTGAAAATCTTCCTCACCTCCCTTGTGATCCATCAGCAAAATTTAGCCTGTTCTACTTCTGAAATGTACCTCCAGTCTATTCTCTTCTCTGCCTCTATTGCTGTCACACTTGGACCATTGTAGTAGTCCTAAGCTTGTTGTTGTATTACTCACTTGCTTAGAATCCTTCCGTGTGTTCTCATTGCTCTTGGAATAAAAAACTTGTCATGGTCTACAAGGTCTCCAGTTTTACCCTGTGCCACTCTTCCCCAATTCATTAGACTCTAGTTACAGTGGTCTTCCTGGAACATTCAAGCTCTTTTCTGTCTTTTCACTCAGTTCTTTCTCCTCTCTTGCCTTTTAATGTGTTTTTAGGCTTTTGATTTCATCATAAATGCCACCTCCTCCAAGGAGCCTTTTCTAACCCCTAGCGCCTTGGAAAGTAGACCCCTTCATTGTTCTCTGTCATAGTATGTTATTAACACATTTTTTGTTAATTGTCTGTCTTCTCCACCAGAGAAGTCTTGTCTTTTTTATTGTTATATCCTTTGAATGAATCCTTGAATCCCACTGCCACTATCTTAATTCAAGTCTGCCATTATGACTCAGAAGATTCGTATAGCAGTATCTTGTCTGATTTCCCTGCCTTCACTCTCCCTCTTAAATCCATTCTGCATACTTTGAGCAGCCGTCTTTCTCAAACATAGACTTTCCTTCGTGTGGCATAGGAGCTCTTTGTGACCTGGCCCTACTTACACCTCCACCCTTATCCCTCACCAGTTCTCTGTTCATACTCCATACTGAACTGTTTGCGATTCCAAGCTCAACATGTTTTTCTTACCTCCAGGCCTTTGCATTTGTTGAACACTCTGCTTAGACTGCCCTTTCCCATTCTCGACCCCTTAACCTAATTGAGGACTTAGTGTAAAGAATACCTTCTCTATAAAGCCTTCCCTAATCCTCCAAGCCTAAGTTAGGTGCCCTTTCTGTATTCCCTCTTGGCACCCTGTGCTTACCACCATAATAATACACCCACTCCTCACTTATCAACATGGTTCCAAAGATGAGGTCACTACGTGAAAATCAGCATTATGCGAAAGTGGAGGATGACCACATCAGGTCACAAAATGGAGGATGACTATATCGTTAACTGCCAAATTACATTGTTACATAACTACCAAATTCCATCATTATATAACTGCTTAATTACATCATGACATAACTGCCAAACCACTGAGAATCATGGCCCAGCCAAGTTGACACATGACCTTAACCATCACAGCCAATGTTCCTCTCTTGCTTCATACCTCATTGTTCCGATTTACGTTAATGTGCAAAATAGATAGTAGATATTTTACTATTGGTGTGAATGTGAAATGTCAGATAATGAGGTAGTCAAGAAGAGTAGGTGTACTTAATACAATGTATTATAGTTCACTGTTAACTTTTTTTTAAACATTTTACTGTGTTTTCGGTGAAAGTTTGCACAGCAAATTAGGTTCATTTAACAATTTCTACACCCATCGTTCAGTGACATTGGTTACATTTTTCACAATGTGTCAGCGTTCTCATTATTTCTCTTCTGGTTGTTCATTTCTTGTAATCTAGTTTCCCTGCCTCATTTCCTTCTCATCTTTACTTTAGAGTAATTGTTGATCGTTTGGTCTCATATAGACGATTTCTTAAAGGAGCACAGTACTCATGGGTGATATTCTTTATTTTATGAGCCATTCTGTTATTTAGCTAAAAGGTGACCTTGGGATAGTTTCAGTTCAAGGTTTAAAGCGTATGTCAGGGCAGAAGTCTTGGGGGGTCCTCTAGTATCAACTGATTTAGTAAGTTTGGACTTTTTAAGAGTTTGAGTTCTGTTCTATACCTGTCAACTTTCTATCTTCCCCCACTGACAGTGAAATCAAGGCCTTTTTTTTTTTTTGCTATTGTTGCATACTTAGCACCTGCATGAGTATCCAGCACATCGTGGCATTGAGTGAAGTTGGCTGTCCTTACAGACCAAGTGTTTCCAGTGTAGGAGCTAGTTGACTCCAAATTGAAGAGGATGATTGCTTATATTTGGATTTGGGGGCTTTTCAGATAAGGAAGAAGACTGAGTGAAAGAAATCACACAAGAAGTTTAGGCATGACAACTTGACTCTTGAAGGTTGCTAGGAGTTTGAATGGTGAGAGTGTAGAGGAAGCTTGCTCCTTTCTTGTGTATAGTTTTTCATAGTCTTATCTTACTCTGTTTAAATTCTTATCTGTTTTGTTACAGATTAAGAAATATCCTTTCAGTGGTTGGTACTGATGCCTTAAAAAAGACCAAAAAAGATGATGAAAAATCTAAGAAGCCCAAAGAAGAGGTAGAATATGCCTTTGGTTTCACAGCATAACATGAAGAAAATGAGAGAGTAGTTCTCTTTTTCTGTTTTCAATGGGTTTGCTTTGCTGGAATGAGGAGGGAAATGTCTTTGAAGACTCTACCATTCAGGAATAGTTGTTGGCAATAGTTTGCAGTTTCTGTGTAGGTGTGAATAGAGATACGTGAGTTTTCTACTCAGGAAAGAACTATAGCATTCCTGGTGTGAATGCTATGGTTTTTTCCATAGTATTCCATCTTTTCTTTATTCTCCCTGTTATTACACCAAAGCTGTGCTTTTGATCTCTCCATAGTTTTCCTGTTTATATTTAACAAGGAAACAGAAACTGTCCAGTAAGACTTTGTAGAAGATGGATCTGCCTGTCTTTAGCCTGTCTATTATTGAACTAAGTCACCTTTCTGAGCAGTTACAGTAGAGAGGTGACAACTATGGGAGGGGCAGGAATGCTTCAGTTCTTAATTTCTGTTCTTAATTTACCTTCCAGTATCAGCAAACCTGGTACCATGAAGGACCACACAGCCTAAAGGTTGCTAGGCTATGGATTGCTAATTATTCACTGCCCAGGTAAGAAGAGCCTCTAGAAGAAGGAATGAAGTTTATTTTCTTTTATTTCCTCTCAAGGACTGAGGATTTGTTTTGTAATGACTGTGGTGGTTAAATAAATTGAGTGGTAGAGACACATGTTTGGACACTTGTTTACAACCTCTTTGCTCATGATAATGTTGTTTCCATGTCACAGGGCAATGAAACGCTTGGAAGAGGCTCGTCTCCATAAAGAGATTCCTGAGACAACTAGGACCTCTCAGATGCAAGAGCTGCACAAATCCCTTCGGGTAAGATATTTTTGGCAGTTATCCAGTATCCTAAAGATTCTTAACATTTATGAGATTTTCTGCTTTGGCCCATCTCTAGGAAGGTAACAAACAAAAAAAAACCAAACCCATCGCCCTCGAGTCAATTCCCACTCATGGTGACCTCCTGTGTTACAGAGTAAAACTGTTCAATGTGTCTGTAACTATTCCTGCTTGAGCTGTTGCTGTTGGGGAGGAGCCATCAGTTAAGGTGGCAGGAGCCTAATTTCTACTCAGCAGAGGCCTATGGTTCTTCTCTTTTATCCTCCCTGTTATTACACCAAAGCTGTGCTTTAGATCTCGCCATCGTTTTCCTGTTTATATTTAGCTAACATAGATGCAAAGCTAGGATACCAAGAATGTAAGAAATAGCATGTTGAGTTCCTCATGGGCCTTGACTCCATTCATTTGTCAGAGCATCAGTGTAAGTATCTCCTAACAAAAGTATAGATACAAAAGTATAAAAAATCATGGGGTGGGTTAAAACTAGAAAGTTGGCTTTTTTATGGTAGAAAGGCCAAGGAACTCCTGTATTAGCCTATTAATAATCACTATTTTGTTTGTTTTTTTTAGTCTTTGAATAATTTCTGCAGTCAGATTGGGGATGACCGGCCTATCTCATACTGTCACTTTAGTCCCAATTCCAAAATGCTGGCCACAGCTTGTTGGTAAGTTCCATTTTACAGTGATTTTTTTTTTTCTAGATGGGAAAGATACTTTTTTTTTAATTAACTTTAGTCTTAGATGTCTGTTTCTATTTCCTCTTCCTTTGTGTCTTAGGGTTGCACCAGACTTGGTTCAGAAGAGAAGCTAGTGTTATACCCATTGTATTATAGAATATAGCCTTTGTTTAGCATTTCTTACTGTTTATAAGCAGCCCCAAAGATCCATGGCATGTTGACACTAGCGTTTTGGAGCAGGTCATATAGTGAGCTTGTAGACCCAACTAGATTCCACACCTCAACACGGTTTTCCTTTTTTAATTACATTAGCTAGGCAAGATACTTCTATAACCTTCAGCGTCCTCATCTGTAAAGTGGGGTGGGATAATGTCTGTAAAGCATTTTGCCTTGAATAGTGCCTGGTATGTAGTAAAGACTGAACAAACATTAATTATTGTTTTTATCATTTTTTTTTTGTGCTTAGGATCTCATATGCATAAACCTGTTAGTATGCGATAGTTTTGTTACTTTGTTTTCTTGGTGGGTGTGGCCATATAGTGAGAGAGGAAACTTAACATTATACACACAGGAACCACTTAACTAGGCAGAAATTGAGACTATGGTTTAGGAGAAAGTTAAGGAAGTATACATATCACTAGTTCTCCAAGCTTCGGTTACCTTAACTATAAAATAGAAATGATAATTCCTGCCTTATCTACCTAAGGTCTGTTATAAAAATCATTTGAGATAATGGATACAAAGATAACTTGTTGGAAATTTTCCCAAAAAAAAATTTTTTTTTATGTAGTTTGCAAGCAGCAAAGTGCTTCTCATGTTTAAGGTGATAGTATCATTATTAATATTATTACTAGATAATTTGTTCTACCTCCTCTCACAAACTGATCTGAAAGTTAAGGGAAATAGCAACTTATATTAATTATAGCCTATTAAAGGCCTCTGGTTACATGAGACCTGGCTATAGCTCTATCTTCTGCCACCCTTCAAATTAAAGGCCTTTTATTTTTATATTTCTGTCTGCCACTGTAATGTTTATTGGGGATGAGAAGATATTGCCCTTTAGTAATGTTACCAAGGTACCTTTTCCTTCCCAGACCAACCCTGGCTGAGATGCTTTCCTTTGTATTTGATAGGAGTGGGCTTTGCAAGCTCTGGTCTGTTCCTGATTGCAACCTTCTTCATACTCTTCGAGGTAAGTTAGAATCTTGTTTAAATCTCATTCTTCCCAGTGTGAATTCTGTTAAGCAGTAAAACTCTGCCTGAGACTATGCCCCCTACAAAAAGTTTTCCAGGTGCTTCTTCCCTGACACATGGACCCAGCATACACAAGATTAATTCTCGGTTTGGTTTTCTCTGACCACAAGGCTGAAATACAATGATTTCATATACATACCACTTTTCTCTTATGTCCAGCCAAGCTCTGACATTTTACAGTCTCTAAACCAAAAACGGGAATTTTTTTGGTGTTTTGTTTTTCTTAAAATGTAATTTACTCATAGATCGGAAGATTGAATACGTTAAGATGTTAAAACTACCTAAATCAATCTGTAGATTCAACACAATCCTCAGGAAAATTCCAACAGCCCTGTTTGCAGAAATGGAAAAGCCAGACCTCAAATTTATATGAAAGCACAAGCAGCCCCGAATAGCCAAAGAAAGCAGTCTTGAACAAGAAGAACAAAGTAGGGAGGACTGAACACTTCTCAATCTCAAAACATATTATAAAGCTACAGTAATTAAAACAGTCTGGTTCTGGTATAATGATAGACATATACACCAGTGGGATAGAACTGAGAGTCCAGAAATAAACCTGTACATTGTAGTCAACTGATTTTCTACAAGGTGCTAAGTCCATCCAGTGTGGGAAGAATAGTGTAATAAATGATGCTGGGGCAACTGTATTTCCACAAGAAAAAGAATGAACTTAAACCCACACCTCACACCATATTTGAAAACTAACTCAGAATGGATCAAGGACCTAAATGTAAGAACTAAAACCATAAAACTCTTAAAAGAAAACGGGGTAATGCTTCAGGACCTAGTTTTTAACAATGGGATCTTCGATATAACACTGAAAGCATGAGCCACAAATGAGAAAATAGATAAATTGGACCTCATCAGTATTAAAAACTTTTGTTCATCAAAGGATTTATCAACAAAGTGAAGAGACAGCATAGAGATTGGTAGAAAATTTGGGGGAAACATATATCTGGTAAGAGTTTAATATCCAGAGTATATAAAGAACTCCTAAAATTTAACAACAAAAAGACAAACAGCCCAGTCAAAAAATGGGCAAAGGACTTGAGTAGATGTTTCATCAAAGAAGAAATGCAAGTGGCCAACAATCACGTGAAAAGATGCTCAACATCATTAGGGAAGTGCAGACCAAAACCACGATGAGGTATCACTTCACACTCACTAAGATGGCTGCTGTGGACTGAATTGTGTCCACAGTTCTAGCCCTTATACCTTTACATGTAATCCTACGTGGAAATAGGGTTTTCTTTGTTATGTTAATGAGGCCACATCAATATAAGGTGTATCCTAAACCTAATTGTTTCTGAGTTACAAGGAGCATCATAGACACAGACAAGCCCAAAGAGGGGAAGATATATGCCACATGAAGATCACTAAGGCATGCTGGGGCTACAGAAGCTGAGACAAAGATATTCCGCCAGAGCTGACAGCCAGCCTTTCCTATAGCTGGTGCCCTAAATTAAGACTTCTAGCCTCCTAAACTATGAGAAAATAAATTTCTGTTCTTTAAAGCTGCCCACTTGTGGTATTTCAGTTACAGCAGCACTGGGAAACTAAGACAATGGCTATGATTAAAAAAACAGAAAACAACATGTCTTGGCAGGGGGATATGGAGAAATTGGAATCCTCATCTATTGATTGTAAAACGGTGCAGCCACAGTGGAAAACATTTTGGCAGTTCCTCAAAAGAGTTCAACATAGAATTATCATATGATCCAGTAATTTTGCACCTAGGTACATACCCAAAAGAATTGAAAGCAAGAAAAATAGATACTTGTACACCAGTGTTCACTGCAGCATTATTCACAGTAGCCAAAAGATGGAAGCAGCCTAAATGTCTGTCAGTAGATAAAGAAAATATGCTACATACATACAGTGGAATATTACTTGGCCATAAAGAGAGATGAAGTCTTGGCGCATGCTGCAAGCACGGATGAATCTTGAAAACATCATGCTGAGTGAAATAAGTCAGTCACAAAAGGACAAATATTGTATGATCCCACTTACATGAAATATCTAGAATAGGCAAATGTATACAGACCAGAGTTTGTTAGTGGTTAACCACCGGCAGGTGGGAGGGAGGGGAAGAGGAGGACTTATTGCTAGGGGACACTGAGCTTCTCTGAAGAGTGATGGAAAAATTTGGGAACAGATAGTGGTGATGTTTGACAAACATGATGAGCATAATTTATGTCACTGAACTGTACGTGTAAAAAATGTAGAAATGGTAAATGTTTTATTCCATGTATTTACAATAAATAATTTAAATATTAGTTTAAATAGTTCCGTTTTTTCAATAGTTGAATTGTCGCTTTAACACTGTATGTCTGCATGTTCCCTAATATATACTTACCTGTAACATTCACCATATTCTGTATTTGCACATAGGTTATAGGGGGGTGCAAGAGTTAAGCAGCCAGCTGCTAACCAAAAAATTGGCAGTTCAAACCTACCCAGTGGCTCTGTGGGAAAAATACCTAGCAATCAGCTCCCATAAAAATTACAGCCTAGAAAACACTGGGAGGCAGTGCAGTCTGTCACACGGGGTATCTATGAGTCAAAAATCGACCCAGCGGCACCTGACAACCTAACAATATAAGGAACCCTTTAACTTTCATCTCTCCTACTCTTGTAGGCCACAATACAAATGTAGGAGCAATTGTATTCCATCCCAAATCCACAGTCTCTTTGGACCAAAAAGATGTCAACCTGGCCTCTTGTGCTGCTGATGGTTCTGTGAAGCTTTGGAGCCTCGACAGGTACTTATTACTATTCTGCTGTCCATACTGTGAACACTAATAGATGGTTGTCTTGGTTGGCCCTCAGGAAGTGAAAATCTGGCGTTTAACCCAAGAAATGCTCTTAAGTGTCAGGGTAACTTAGTGTGAAGGTAAAATAGAGGATTTCTTTCTTAGACCTTTTCTCACCAGAGAAATTGTACCAGATTTTTCTTACTTGTTAAATTTGGACCTTGATTTTTGCCTACAACATAGTGGCTACTGTGTCCAACTCATTATTCTGGGAAGAGCCATCCTACGTCTTACACAATAGGTTGACGTTGGAGAAAGGCATCATTTGATAGATTGACTAAAGATAATACTTTTGGTAGCATGTTGGTTCTTAGCAAACAGCCACAGGGGAGAGGAAGATGAGGTTCTTTCTGGCAGTATCGACAAGGAAGTCATGTCTCTTCTCAGTAGCATCATCCTTTACCTAGAATATCTTTTCCAATTACAAACGACCGGTTTTTTTTAATGTATTTATGATTAACGTATTGTTTTCCCAAACATTTTGGAAGCACGTTGTTGGCTAAAAGACATCTAAATTCAGTTGCTTAATTTTCTTTGGGAAAGCGCGTGAAGGCTTTTATTCCAGGATTTTTTTTTTTTTTTAAGTAGCTAATTAGTATCTCTCCTCTGTGCCAGACAGGATCTTACCTATGAGCACTGTAAGTTTTAATTGGTTTTGGTAATATTTAGCAACGTTTATTCCCCTAGGGTGTTGATTAGTTCTGTGTATGCACATGGACAAAGTTTCCTTTTTAATTGCCCTCTTTAGAGTTCTTGTTTATTTCCTTTTGCTGGTGTTTCATATCTTCTTTCTGTGGTTGCTGGAGAGCAGAATTTAATGGCCACTGAAAGAAAACCAAGCCTCTGTCTTTTCTAGGAGTTTTTTTTTTTATATGGGTCCTTGAACAAGCTAAAGTTTGAGGAAGAGTTATCTGTAATGCACTTGCACCAAAGTTGTTTTATTTCTATATCCCCACATCTCTACCTGAGTATGTTTTCTTTCTAGAATCCAGGACTACTTTGTTGCAGAGTGACTATTTTGCTTATCATATTAAAATTTTTTTTATTCTTTTCTAATCCTAAATGACATTGCATTAAGGGCTTATTAACATAGTGGATTGAGGTAGAATTTATCAAAGTGCTATGGGCAGTTTTGCCTTTTGGGCACATAAAATAGTCCTATTTTTTTTAAAACCTTGGGAAGTGACTAAATTATCATTAACCCTGGTTTAACAAGCTACAAGTTTAGTTAAAACGTCACCTCTCAAATTGTACAAGGTGGATTTTTAAAAAAATTGTACAAAATGAGTATATCTGTGCACAACAACTAATAAATCCAGCGAATATTTGCATGACTATAAAGTAGCTCACTGCATGTGTTTGGTTCCTTTTCAGTGATGAACCAGTGGCAGATATTGAAGGCCATACTGTACGTGTGGCCCGAGTAATGTGGCATCCCTCAGGACGTTTCCTGGGCACCACCTGGTAAGCCATGTTGTTATTATTCTATCCAAACAGGTCTGTGGCATCTTGTTAATTCATTATAGCTATCTGTGAGGTAAATTTTTAGAGCAGAGGCATTCAAGTAGGATTTTCTTGGAACTGCATTGAATTAGAATCAGAAAAGAACATATGATTCTTTTAGAGTTAAGTGTATTTGCTTTTAAATTGCTGTTAGTTTGAAATTTCAAAGTCACTGATTGCCTGAAACTAGGATTTACATTGTTTCTTCTCTTTTGTAACCAATACTAGAGGTAGTTTTTGTTGTTGTTTTGCTATACATCTCTACCTACAAATCAGTCTCCCTTTTTTTTTTTTGGTTCTCCAAGTTCACTGAGACCAGAATCTGTTAAAGAACTTTTTAATTGAGGTATAATTTACATACTGTGGACTGGATAGATCTTAAGAGTACACTTTTTCGATCAGTTTCAATAAATGCATACACTTGGAGCCCTGGTGGCATAGTGGTTAAGAGCTCAGCTTCTAACCAAAAGTTCAGCAGTTTGAATCCAGCAGCCACTCCTTGGAAACCCTGTGGGGCAGTTGTCTGTCCTTTAGGGTCACTAGGAGTCAGAATTGACTCGATGGCAACAGGTTTTGTTTTTGTTTGTTTGTTTGTTTGTGTGACCCACAAACATTTTCATCACCCCAGAAAGTATGCTCATGCCCCTTCCCAGTCAGTTCCTCCTTGAAAAGCAACCACTAATCTGATTCTGTCACCATAAATTAATTTTGCCTGTGCGTAGAGTATGAATTCATTTGTGTCTGGCTTCTTGCACTTAGCGTAATGTTTTTCGTTTTGTTTTGAAGATTTATTCGTGTTGTATCATGTGTCAGTGGCTGAGTAGTATTCCACTGTATGACTGCACTACAGTTTATCCTTTCTCCTGGTGATTGATACTTGAGCTGTTTCCACTTTTTGACTGATAGGAATAAAGCTGCTATGAATGTTCTTGTATAAGGTTTTTTTTTTTTTTTTTTTTTTGCTAGATGTGCATTTCTCTTTGTTTTGAATAAATACCTAGGAGTATTTATTAGTATTATTAATCTAGCAGTTGCTAGATCATAGGGTAGATACAAGTTTAAATTTTTTTAATTTCTAAATGATTTTCCAAAGTGGATGTACCATTCTACTTTCCCAGAGTTCTGATTGCTCCACATCCTTGCCAAAATTTGGTGTTGTCAGTCTTCATCATTTTGGCGGATATAGTAAGTGTGTAATGATGTTTCGAGGTTTTAATTTTCATTATCCTGGTGACTAATGAGGAGTCCCTAGGTGGTACAAATGGTTAGCATATTTGGCTGCTACCAAAAGGTTTGAGTCCACCTAGAGGTACCTTGGAAAAAGGCCTAGCAATCTACTTCCAAAAAACCAACCATTGAAAACCCTGTGGAACACAGTTCTACTCTGACACACATGGGGTCACCATGAGTTGGAATCAACTTGATGGCAACAGGTATTGGGATGACTAATGATATTGAGTACTTTGTCATATTCTTATTGACTGTGTATATCTTCTGTGCAGTGTCCAGGTGCTTTGTCCTTTTTTTTTTTTTTGTCTCTCTCCTTTTTGTTTTGTTTTTTTTTCCCCCCATCTGGATAGCCAGTTTTACCACTGTTTATTAAGGAGACTCTCCTTTCTTCATTGGAATTCCTTTGGCACCTCATTGAAAATCATTTGACCACATACTTGTACATCTACTTCTATACTCTCTAGTTTGTTCCATAGATGTATTTGTCTGTGACTGATTTTTGTATCTCCAGCATCCAATTTAAGGCCCAGTAAATGTATAAATGCTCAGTGAATGAAGGGACATAACATGGATTGAGGGAAGGAAGAAGCCAGTGGAATCTTTGCTGGGCCAGTATTGGGAAATTCTGTTCTTAAAATAGCCACTGGAATAGGCTTATGGCAAGTCCATAGTTTCCTGGCTATAATCTAAGACAGATATGCTTAGTTGTTGAGGTACAAGGAATTTCTTGTTAATATGGTTGTATAAATAGTTTCAGAGGCATAACTTAAGCTGCAACTATTTATAGAACCTTATACGTGGTAGGAAGTTAACTGTCAGCTAGTTAATGGTTAGTTTGCTTTTTTAGCTATGACCGCTCATGGCGCTTATGGGATTTGGAGGCTCAAGAGGAGATCCTGCATCAGGAGGGCCACAGCATGGGTGTGTATGATATTGCCTTCCATCAAGATGGCTCTTTGGCTGGCACTGGGTAAGGCGTCTTCCACATAGCAAAGGGCAGTCAGTATTCCCACCTCTTATATATACCTACTTCCATGGAGAACTGGATTCAAAGAGTTTGTTTGTAAATTTTCTTATCAGGGGACTGGATGCATTTGGTCGAGTTTGGGACCTGCGCACAGGACGTTGTATCATGTTCCTAGAAGGCCACCTGAAGGAAATCTATGGAATAAATTTTTCCCCCAATGGGTAAAATAAGCTAAGTGGATGAGGGGTGGAGAGGGTTCTTGGTCAAAAAGTAGTCTTTCTTTCTAACTTTGATACTACATCTGATCCACAGCTACCACATTGCAACTGGTAGTGGTGACAACACGTGCAAAGTGTGGGACCTTCGACAGCGACGCTGCGTCTACACCATCCCTGCCCATCAGAACTTAGTGACTGGCGTCAAATTTGAGCGTAAGCGTTCCTTCTGTTTTAGGTCTAATCATGAGACAGACAGAGAGAGAGAGATTGAGGTTGCCTTTCCATGGAATGCAGGTCAGGCTTTAGCTTAACTTGGATGTGGTACAGGAGAGAAATTGGACTCTATTAAAGAAGCAAATTATAATTTCCTTCCCTTTGCCATGTCTTTAGACAGAAATATGGGAAAGGATGCTTCTCTTTGCTAGGAAGTAAAGAAGACTTCCATGAGTGCGTTGCTTCATTTTTTTTCTCCGTGGATGTTCTAAGCACTGAATCTAATACCGCATTATTCTGAACAGACTGTCAGAGAAAGAGCCAAAAACCTTAATAATGCAATTTCCTGCCTTGTGGCTGTCGCCTTTTGCTGGAGGTTGGGTAGGACTATAGAATCTGAGTTTTTCTGAATGTGGAAATGCCCTCTTTTCAAAATAGTATTAGTTCTAGTGGATTTTTGTAATTTGTTCTCTTATTCTCTTTGAATGTTTGAATTCCACAAGCAACTCCCCTTCTTTTTTCCTGTAGCTATCCATGGGAATTTCTTGCTCACTGGAGCCTATGATAACACGGCCAAGATCTGGACCCACCCAGGCTGGTCCCCACTGAAGACTCTGGCTGGCCATGAGGGCAAAGTGATGGGCCTCGACATTTCTGCTGATGGGCAGCTCATAGCCACTTGCTCATATGACAGGACCTTCAAGCTCTGGATGGCTGAATAGGCAGGGCCATGGACAAAGGACTCTAACCTCCAGCTCTTAAGAGCCATTTTCCTCAAAAGAAAGGAATTGACGTGTTCTATTCCATCATGTTTTTTGCCACCTACCATGTGTAGACCCTCAACAGAATTGGATTTCCATGTCAGCCCCCCGTCCAGGCAGGCAGCCCAGTCCCTGGGTGCTAGTGAACCCCTTTCATGGTTAAAATTTTAATTTTCATCTTTAGGCCCTGCCACAAATTGTGTAGACATTGTTTTTATAATCTTTTTTGTTTGAATGCCCTGTTGCCTTCCTCACAGCACCCAGGATTGTGACTGACTCCCTCCATTTTTAATTCTTGAAACTTGGCTTGCCGTCACGTGGTACGTGCTTAAGGACTGCGTGTCACCTAGATAGCAGGGTGGCCAGACTATATTCTGGAAGCCCTCAAGTAAAGAGGCACATCAAACAATGCCTGGACAGAGCTGAGGACCTCTCCTCTACCTTGAGAATGGGAGGTGAGGCAGTAGCCACAGTTATGCTGATGGTTATGCAGTAAAGAAGATTTTATCTCTTCCTGTTGAGTTCACTTGGGATACCAACTGCATCAGGAAGCTCAGAGCTGAACATTTGCCTTATCAGAAAATGTCTTCCGTTTTGCTTTGATGTTTGGCATCTTTCGTGTTACCCCAAAGCAAGTCCATTGTGTCAGGATTCAGAGAAATGATTAGAAAGAAAATATGATGTTTATTGTGCAGCCTTCTTTCTGTTGGTTACTTAAAGGATGGTAGCCTTCATGCCAAGGTAACTGAAAAAAAATCCCTAGTGGGTATTCCTGAACGTAAACTTTTTATTTTTTTCCTTTTATAAAAACTGTTCTTCAAAGAATTATTTTGTATAGTTAAACGTTTTCTGAATCCCAGCCACTGGACCATAGAAGTCCCATTTTTTTGGTTTAGGGGCTAGCAAATAATCATAAAAATTGCTTGCTCCAATTTCTGGATACTGAATGAGCACTCTGTTAATAGTTTTCTTAAAAATAGAGGGCTGCTTGCGTTGTGAGCTGTATCTGGACCCTATGATTCTTATTCACTGGTCATGCAGCATTTACCTTCACTTCTTTTCCACCCCAAGCAGACACACTCAGAACACTTCACTTGCTATTCCAGAGAGGGTAAGCGTGGCTTTGCTCGAGGCCTATTCTGTCAGCTATAAGTGTGTGATATATAGCTAAATATACTGTTTAATCTGATTTTATTATAACCAAATAGTTACATATCCTGTGTAGTTGTTAAGCTTCTGAATTCTCAGCTGTTCCCTCTGTTGGGCACATCACTGTTGTTTAGGTATTAATGGGCTCTGTCTCCTCCAGTGTTTTCCATGAAAAGAAATTATTTTTCATTACTACCTGTGTAGTAGTTATACAGTAATAATGAACATTATTGTATTAGCATGCAGTTTGGATATAGTGTGCTTACAAAGGTTTTCAGTTTTTCAAGTTTAAATTTAACCGTTAGCTCCCTTAGATTTGTTGCTTCCAAGTTTTTGGTTCCAAGAGATTTAGAGGTAACAGGTAGGTAAAAGCATTTCATCTAAGCATGTGACAGAACAAGAAATACACATTTCTTCACTGGAAATAAATGTCATAAGAAAGTGGTTAACTGAGAAACATGAAGCATTTCATGGTAATGGTGAGATAAACAGCCAAAACTGAGGCTCACAGAGGTTAAGTAACTTGCTCAAGGTTACCCAGCTAGTAAGTGGAAGAGCCTGAATTCGAACCTTAGTCTGACAGTTGGTGACATTATGAGAAGATTTAACAGACTTTACTGAGTATGTTGACAACAGTGGCCAGACAATCATTCCAGCCAGTACACCGTTTCCTGTAGAAAGCCTGAGCTTTTTAACCACCCCATCTTGTATACTGCCCTTTTCACAAGTCACTTCATCTCTGGCCCTGACTTCATGCCACATGAGGTTTAAGTAATTTTACTGCTTCTACCTCAGGAACTTATGAAGAGCCTATAGTGTTAACAGGATAACCATTTGCATTTTGGGATACATGATATTTAGGTGTGTGGGACTGTCTTAAGCATTGTAGGTATCTTAGCATTCCTAGCCTCTGGGCCCTAAACATCAGAAGCACAACCCATCCCCTTCATTGGAGCACCAAAGATGTTCCCGCACATTTCCAAGTACTTCCTAGGAGGATGGTACTGCCCCAAGCTTAGAACTACTAAATGCGAAAGTAGGAGACTCTGTAATGTTAAACATATCCTTCCCTATCCAAAAAAAACTCAAACCTGTATCTTTTCTTATTTGGATTGTATGTCAACCTCTCCAAGAGTCTTAAGTTCTGTTTTGACTGAAAAGACTCCCCCACTTACTAGCTGTGTGATCTTGAACAAAGTAGCTAAACTCGCGGAGCCTCAGTTTCATCTATAAAATGGGGGTAAAGCTTACTTGGAGTGCAGAGGCAGGTGTCCTTCCTGAGTGTCCCCCAGCTCCTCTCCCTGCCCCTTACCCTGAGAACAGGGTGAGATCATTACCTACCTAACTGATACGTTAAGGAGCAAGGATGTGTAATAAAATGAAGTCAACAGGGAAAGGTTGACTCTCAGCTTTAGTGTAATTATCTTTGATGGCCTAGAGAGGTAGGTGCTAGTCCCCGGATGGGATATATTGGCAGCTTTCCAATTTTATAATGGAGAATTTGTTTTCTTCACATTGGAGCTTCAAACAGTTTGGTTTTACTAAACGTGAGATGTATGTCTTGGCTGCTTTGAAATATCTTGTACATTAAGACCCCTAAGGGGAATTTATAGAAGCTAGATCCATTACACTCACAAAATGTTACTTAGAGCAAATAAAACTGACTCAATTTCTGGCCTCTGAAATCTTATTCTACAAATCAAAAAAAAAAACAACTCAAAATGTTGTCTTTTCCTACTGTGGTGGTGTTTTAGCCAGCCCCAAACATCCAGATTCTAGCTGTAGTTCTCACTGGTTCCTAGACTGATTGAAGTGGAAACCAGTGTCTCTCTGCCTTTTGGGATGGGAGCTAAGGCTTTGCCTCATAAGGCTAGAATTATAGCGCTTGGGGATGGGGAAACAGCTCTACCCTGCACCCATTCTAATCAGGACCTGTGCACCTACCAGGAGGATTAGAAGGGCCTCCCTCTAATTCCCATTTCTTTTAATCCACTGACCCTGACTTCTTATAACTTTCAATTTTATATATATATGTGTGTGTGTGTGTATACATACATAATCTCCATGAACTTCATGCCTACCATAGGTTCTCTTGTACAAGAAGCAGCTGAATGAGCATGCCCTCCCTGCTGGTAGGGGCTCTCTGCCACTCCTGGATAAATCCTACCCTCTCTTTCCCTCGTTTTGGCAGTTAGTGCCAGCCCAGTCAATGGTTGTTGAATGAATAAGTGAGTGAATTAATGAATGCAGACCACTTTTACTGGGGCTGGTGGCAAGGCATTCAAAGAGAAAGCTGAGAAGGGGAAACACATTTGTCCACAGAATTAAAGCTCACTTTCTAAATTTTTTTAGCAACACAGAGTTCAAGGCAGCTCCAGTGAGAAACGCAGCTTGCTATTTGGGCTAGTCAGGTTCCTGAATACCATTGTCCAGCCCTTTGGCACAGTTTGTTGTGTAGCTCTGTAGTCACAGCCCTACTTCTCTGCCCTCCTGTGACCCCATAGCTCTCATCCAGTGGCCCCTCCACGGCTTTTCACAGTCCTTTAGCTTTCAGAGGCTCTCATAGTAGGGCCCTGTCTGTTCTCAGAAGCAAATACATGGTCTAACTGATCCTTGGATTGTAAAATGAACAATACTACGAAGGAAGATACCAAAGAGGCTCTGCAGTCCCCACACCCAGCAGCAAATTTGAGTCTCTTGAGCAGCAACTGAGAAAGGCTTGGCTCCTAGTCAAGGAATGGAGCACTCACCCCACGCCCCAAAGGAATTGTTTGGTCCAAAAGATGGAAAATAGGAGCAACAGAATGACACCGAGGATGACAGCCATCAGATAGGCAAAGATCCGGAACTGAGGGTTGCGGAAACACTCTCGCAGAGAGTAGTGACTGGGGATGGGGGTGGGCATAGTCACGGTGGCAGGGGCCATGTCCCGGGGGGGCCTGGCCTGGCTTCCGGGCTCAGGGTCTAGGTCCAGCGTGTAGACTCGAGGCTGGCGCAGGAAGTAGCGGCTCTTGGGCTGGTCCTTGAGACAGAGCTGACGGCCTTCCAGGATGACGTGGTGGGGCTCCAGGCGGAGCAGGGTAAGCATGGCGGTGTCTGTGGGCAGGTCAGTGACGGGCTGCCCTGAGGCCAGCACAGTGGGTTGGCGACATAGTGGGCACAGCAGTCGGCGCTGGGCCGGAGTCACCAGGCTGAGGTGGGCCAAGCATTCCACGCAGAAGGAGTGGCAGCAGTCCAGCACTTTGGGGGTGTGGAACGTGTTGTTGAAGGGGTTCCAGCAGACAGGGCACTCAGCTTCGGGCTCCCGGCCTCGCTGCTCAGCCATCCTAAGACCAGACGCTGGGAGGCCTCCCTAGAGATGTCCCAGCGGAAAGGGAAAAGGAGCAAAGGAACACCCAGTAAGCTCTGTCCCTGTGCTTGGTCCTAGACTAAGTAAGTGTCTGGGGATGTTATAAAGTATTATCGCCCACATCTTACAGATGAAAAAGGTTCAAAAAGATGAAGTAATTTGTTCCAGGTCACCCGGTTCCTAAGTCCCTCCCATAGCCCCTCTATAGCAGGATGAAGACCTGAGCTACCACCACCTACAGCACCTTAATGGCACCGGAGGAAAGAGCAGCCCGGGCGTTAGAGAGGGATGAAAATGCTCTTTATGTGCAATGTTTCTACCCTTGGCTGCTCTGAATCCAGGGAGAGGGAAGGTGGGCTACAGCTCACACAAATATTTCCTTCCCTACTACCTCAAATCTCTGACTAGTGCAGAGATGGGCTTTGTGAACTCTGGTCTGTCCCTCCTCTGGGAAAAATCCCAGGCCCTTTCCCTTCTCCCCTTGGGCCCCAGGGCCAATCTTCCAGAGCCAACTCGCCCTGTCCAGGTGCAGGGACATGACCTGGCCAGGGGGCCCCTGATAAAGCTTGCCCCTTTGACCCGGAAGCCATGGGAAAGTTCTCTGTCCAGGTCCCCAGATCAGCCTTTCTAGAGCTTCCTTCCAGTACTCAACCTCCCCTGGCTCCTCCCTCCCTTTGTTCCTGGAAACCCCCAGGGCACGCACCTGGGCTTCCTTGTCAAGACACTAGAGTGGTCGGGCTGACTGCTCTGAAGGGCCTGAAGCTCCAGTCTGTCTCTCTCCCAGATCCACAAAGCTTTGGAAGACTGCCTTCTTGCCACCAACTCAGGGGCCGTCTCCATGGCAGCACATACGCAGCACCTGGAGCTGCCAGGTGGCCTGGGCTGCAGCCTCTTGAGTGCACCTGCCTAGAGCGAAGGCCAGAGAGCTGCCTGGGTGGCAGGGTGGAGAGGTGGGGGACATGAGTTCCCCCTGGGGCGTAACCAACCCAACCTGGAAGCCAAGTATCTGCAAGATTGCGGGCAGTCCCTTCAAGACCTTGGATCCTTGGCCTAGAAAGGTAGGGCTGGCAATTTCCTTTTTCTGATTTCAGATAGGAAAGTGAGCCTTCTGGGCTTCCGCACGTCCCCCTCCCCTGGGCCCTCATTTGTAAAATGGCTGGAAAAGCCTCCTCCCTCCCTGAGCAAAGGGGCTGCCTGCCCTGCACTTCCGTCTACTGTGAAATTCACCTACTTCACAGCCTGAAAGCTCTGAATATCAGATTCCTCCAAGTTCTCTCTGGTCTCCTTCTGATCTTTTAATGTTCCTAAATGGCTGACACTGGAATATGCAAGCTTTGTTGCCTTCCACTTTGTTCTTAGAACAGTCAGCCTAGCAGGCACTGACTACTGAGATCTACAGTCCAAAGGCTGGCATCTCCCCCAACCTGAGGGCCTTAAAGGGGAGAGTTGGGAGGGAGGAGCAACCTGGCTTTGCTCCCCCACTGCAACCAGAAACACTCGGCTTTTATCTGTTTCACATACTGGTCATCTGAATAATTTGAAGAGTTGATTTGCTCGGGAGAAAAAGTTTGAAAACCACTTCTCCAGTCCTAACTACTGCGAAGTGACTCACCCAAAGTCACCCAGCTAGTTGATGGTGGCACTGGGACTCATGAAAAATGCATGCATTTAATCCACCTGCTGGATGTATGTTATTGGCTAAGTAGTCAGTGTGTGCACGAGATTCCTCATGTCCATGTCTCTCATGAGGAATCCAGAAATTCTGCAAGGGGAAATTTGGGGGCAGTAGTCTCCCTTGTGCCCCTGATATGACATCATCTACCCTGAGTTGAGGAGCCCTGGTGGCACAATAGTTAAGCACTCAACTGCTTACCTAAAGGTCAGCGATTCGAACCCACCAGCTGCTCCACGGGAGAAAAGACCTGGCAATCTGCTCTGGCAAAGATTATAGCCTAGGAAACCCAATGGGGCAGTTCTACTGTGTCATATAGGGTCGCTACGAGTCAGAACTGATTCGACGGCACACAACAACAACCACTCTGAGTTGACACCTGAAGCAAAACCTGCTTGCACTCTCCCGCCCATGGCTTCCTGGTTTTCTTCTAGACTTCTGTCACTGTTGCATACAGGGGAGAAGGAAATGAAGCTATGCAGAAGGAGGTGGAACAGCCCTACCTATGCCTTATTCTGTGGACCAGTTGTCCAGTCAACAGTTATCAAGTGCTTACTAAATGCCAGGCACTGTGCTAGGTAGGCCATCAGGTAAATATGTGAACAAAATAGACATGATGGCCTTTGATCTGCTGACGTACAGAGTCTAGTGAGGGAAAGGCACATTTAACAAGTAGTAGACAATAAATATATAATTTTAACAAATGCTATAAAGGACAAAAAGAAAAATGGACTTGGGAGGTTTGCTGCTTCAGATTAGCCCACCAAAGAAGGTTTCTCCAAAGAAGTAATGTGAAAGCTGAGACTGAAGGATGAGAAGCGTCCAGCCATGCAGAGTGGAGGGAAAAGCATTCCAGGCCAAGGGAACAGCATGTGCCACAGCCAAATGTTGGAAAGTGCTCTGTCAATTTGAAGAAGTAAAAGGAAGCCTGGGTGACCGAGTTGTGGTGGGTGGAGCTGGGGTGGGGAGAGTGACTCAAAATGAAGCCAGAAGGGTAGAGGCGGCACCCAGTAAACCCTGGAATGCACTTGGATTGAGATGTGATGCAAAACAATTGAAAGCAGGGAGTGACTTGACTCTATTTGCGTTTCTAAAACAACATTCCAACTGCAGGGCAGAGACTGGACTGAAAGGGACAAGAGTGGGAATAGAAAATCAGTGAGAGAATGCAGCCTTGGTATACTGGTGCTTGACATAGGTCAGGCGACCCAGGAGAAGACAAAAGGGCTGGGAGTGAAAGGCATCTTTGGAGACAGACTTGAAAGTGGACAGTGTAGATTATGGAACCAGGTTTATAGCCTCAAATCTCCTGCTTATTGAATCCCTTAACCTCTCTGGGCCTCAATTTCCTCACCTGAAAAAGAAGCTAAAAGTAATAAAAACATCAGAGGGTAAGTCTCTTAGATAGAGCCTGACACACCGTGAAGATTATGTATGAGGAGGCTGGTATTGTTACTGTAAATGGGTTTAAGGGAAAGGAAGGGTCAGTGTTGACTCTGAGGCCATGAACAAGTCTTCTGCATCAAGTTTGAGGAGTCCCTGAATTCCAGAGCCTGTTAGAAGCAGAACCTTAATACTTATCAAAAGCCTTAAAATGTACATAGCCTTTGACCCAGCAGTTCTCCC